GGGCTAAGCCAACCAGTCTTGCTTGAACAATGGAAAGAGCCACAGGTTTATCCCTCCATCGAATCAAATTAGCCAAAGGTGTGCGTTCATGAGCCCATGCTAGAGTTTCAATCAATTCCTGCCAATATCCTCGCCAGGAAATTAAAAACATGAATCCAGTAGCCCAAACCAGATGCCCAAATAGGAACATCCACGCCCAGACAGATAAACTATTTGTACCGAAAGGGTTATATCCATTGATAAGTTGTGAAGAGTTTAACCATAGATAATCTCTTAACCATCCCATCAAATAAGTGGAAGATTCATTAAATTGTGAAGGATTACCCTGCCATAAAGTGATATGCTTCCAATGCCAATAAAAAGTAACCCATCCAATGGTATTTAACATCCAGAAAACCGCCAAATAAAATGCATCCCAAGCCGAAATATCACAAGTACCGCCTCGTCCTGGACCATCGCAAGGGAAACTATAACCAAAATCTTTCTTATCTGGCATGAACTTGGAACCACGTGCATCTAAAGCACCTTTTACTAAGATCAATGTAGTTGTATGCAAACCTAGAGCAATAGCATGATGAACCAAGAAGTCTCCAGGACCTATTGTTAGGAATAGTGAATTACCATTCTCATTAATAGCATTCAACCAGCCAGGTAACCATAAGCTTCGACCAGCATTGAATGCTGGGCCGTTCGTTGAAGATAAGAGTACATCAAATCCATATGAAGTCTTACCATGAGCGGATTGTATCCATTGGGCAAATATAGGTTCGATCAAGATTTGTTTTTCTGGAGTACCAAAAGCAAGCATGACGTCGTTATGAACATAGAGTCCCAAAGTATGGAAACCCAGGAACAAGCTGGCCCAACTTAAATGAGATTTTATAGCTTCTTTATGGTCTAACATTCTTGCCAATACATTATCCTCGTTCTGTTCCGGATTGTAATCTCTAATGAAGAATATAGCTCCATGAGCAAAGGCCCCTGTCATGATGAAGCCTGCGATGTATTGGTGATGAGTATATAACGCAGCTTGAGTAGTAAAGTCTTGTGCTATGAATGCATAAGGAGGTAAAGAATACATGTGTTGAGCTACCAAGGAAGTAATAACCCCCAAAGAGGCTAGAGCAAGACCTAATTGAAAATGAATGGAATTATTGATTGTGTCATAAAGACCTTTATGTGCCCGTCCCAATCGACCCCCCGGAGGAGTATGTGCTTCTAAAAGATCTTTTATACTATGACCGATCCCGAAGTTAGTTCTATACATATGACCAGCAACGAGAAAAACAAATGCAATAGCTAAATGATGATGAGCAATATCGGTCAGCCATAAGCTTTGAGTTTGAGGATGGAATCCCCCGAGAAGGGTTAGAATGGCAGTTCCCGCTCCTTGGGAGGTACCGAATAAATGACCACTGGAATCGGGGTTTTGGGCATAAAGATTCCACTGTCCTGTAAAAAGTGGCCCCAAGCCTTGAGGAGATGGTAATACGTCTAGGAAATTATTCCATCTGACGTATTCCCCCCTGGATCCGGGAATAGCGACATGAACTAAATGTCCTGTCCAAGCCAAGGAACTTACTCCGAACAGTCCTGACAAATGATGATTAAGACGAGATTCAGCATTTTTGAACCACGAAACGCTTGGCTTCCATTTGGGTTGTAGATGTAACCAACCCGCTATTAAAGATATCGCAGAAAGAAATAATAGAAAAAGAGCTCCAGTATAAAGATCTTCATTGGTGCGCAAGCCGATTGTATACCACCACTGATAGAGACCGGAATAAGCGATATTCACCGGACCGAGAGCACCCCCTCGAGTAAAGGCTTCTACAGCTGGTTGACCAAAATGAGGATCCCAAATTGCATGAGCAATAGGTCTTACATGTAAAGGGTCCTGTACCCATGACTCAAAATTTCCTTGCCAAGCCACATGAAACAGATTCCCGGAAGTCCACAGGAAGATTATTGCTAACTGCCCGAAGTGAGAAGCAAAAATATTCTGATAAAGACCTTCCTCAGTGATATCATCATGACTCTCGAAGTCATGTGCGGTGGCAATACCAAACCAAATACGACGAGTAGTGGGGTCCTGAGCTAAGCCTTGGCTAAACCTTGGAAATCTTAATGCCATAATGCCTTTCAAATCCTCCTAGCCATTATCCTACTGCAATAATTCTTGCTAAGAAGAATGCCCATGTTGTGGCAATTCCACCCAGAAGGTAATGGGTTACTCCTACAGCACGTCCTTGGACAATGCTCAAGGCTCTAGGCTGAGTAGCAGGAGCAACTTTTAATTTGTTATGAGCCCAAACGATGGATTCAATAAGTTCTTGCCAATAACCGCGGCCGCTGAATAGAAACATTAAACTGAAGGCCCAAACAAAATGAGCACCTAGGAAAAACAGGCCATATGCGGATAATGAAGAACCATAAGACTGGATCACCTGAGAGGCCTGTGCCCATAGAAAATCCCGGAGCCATCCGTTAATAGTAATGGAACTCTGCGCAAAGTTTCCTCCCGTGATATGAGTTACCACCCCTTGATTGCTTATACTACCCCAAACATCCGACTGCATTTTCCAACTGAAATGGAATATTACTACCGAAATCGCATTGTACATCCAGAATAGACCTAAGAAGACATGATCCCAGGCGGATACTTGACATGTTCCCCCTCTTCCGGGTCCGTCACAAGGGAAACGAAAACCCAGATTTGCTTTATCAGGTATCAAACGGGAGCTACGAGCAAATAGAACGCCTTTCAGTAGTATCAATACGGTCACATGGATCGTAAATGCATGAATGTGGTGTACCAAAAAATCTGCGGTTCCTAGTGGAATAGGTAACAAAGCTACTTTTCCACCTACTGCTACTAAATCACCACCTCCCCAAGTCAAACTGGTACTTGTTGTTGCACCAGGAGCTGTTGCACCAGGTGCTAAAGCATGAGTGTTTTGTATCCATTGAGCAAAGATGGGTTGTAATTGTATAGCGGTATCTGAAAACATATCTTGAGGACGCCCCAAAGCGCTCATGGTATCATTATGAATATACAGGCCAAAACTATGAAAGCCTAGAAATATACATGCCCAGTTGAGGTGTGATATGATTGCATCACGGTGCCTAAGGACACGATCTAAAAGGTCGTTGTATCGAGTAGTTGGGTCATAGTCTCTTACCATAAAAATAGCTGCATGTGCAGCAGCGCCAACTATGAGAAATCCACCGATCCACATGTGATGTGTGAACAACGAGAGTTGTGTACCATAGTCAATAGCTAGGTATGGATAGGGGGGCATAGAATACATATGGTGAGCTACAACAATGGTTAAAGAGCCTAACATAGCTAGGTTAAGAGCTAATTGAGCATGCCATGACGTTGTTAGGATCTCATAGAGACCTTTATGACCCTCGCCTGTAAATGGACCTTTATGAGCCTCTAAAATCTCTTTTAGGCCATGACCAATTCCCCAGTTGGTCCTATACATGTGACCAGCTATCAGGAAAATAATTGCAATAGCCAAATGATGGTGTGCAATATCGGTCAGCCATAGACCCCCTGTTACTGGATCTAATCCTCCGCGAAAAGTAAGAAATTCCGCGTATTTTGACCAATTCAAGGTAAAAAATGGGGTTGATCCCTCGGCAAAACTGGGATAAAGTTGAGCCAAAAGATCCCGATTCAAGATAAATTCATGAGGAAGTGGTATCTCTTTAGGATCCACTCCCGCGTCTAGAAATTGGTTAATGGGTAAAGATACATGTACTTGGTGTCCCGCCCAAGAAAGAGACCCAAGTCCTAGTAACCCTGCTAAGTGGTGGTTCAACATGGATTCTACATCTTGGAACCAAGCCAATTTTGGAGCAGCCTTGTGATAATGGAACCAACCGGCAAAAAGCATTAACGCTGCAAAGACCAAAGCACCAATTGCGGTACAATAGAGTTGTAATTCACTAGTTATTCCAGATGCTCGCCAAATCTGAAAAAAACCAGAGGTTATTTGTATTCCTCGGAAACCTCCACCTACATCGCCATTCAGGATTTCTTGACCAACTATTGGCCAAACCACCTGGGCACTGGGTGCGATGTGAGTAGGATCGCTCAACCATGCTTCATAATTGGAAAAACGGGCACCATGGAAGTACATACCACTCAACCAAAGAAAGATGATGGATAGTTGACCGAAATGAGCACTAAATACTTTTCGAGAGATTTCCTCCAAATCACTGGTATGGCTATCGAAATCGTGAGCATCAGCATGTAGGTTCCAGATCCAAGTGGTAGTATTGGGGCCTTTAGCTATTGTCCTTGAGAAATGGCCGGGTCTGGCCCATTCCTCGAAAGAAGTTTTTATGGGATCCCTATCCACCATAATCTTCACTTCTGATTCCGGCGAACGAATAATCATTGAGTCCTCCTCTTTCCGGACAACACATACGAAGAGACCCGCCAAGAGTCAAGTAATTAGTGAACCTTTGAGAGATAGTATGGTTTGTTCTTTTCTTTCCTATCTCTCATCTATCTATTTTCCTTAGTTATTCTTAGTTATTCACTAGAGCAATTATTATATGGAAGTCAATCCGGGGCAAGTGTTCGGATCTATTATGACATATCTATTAGGTGCTCAACGGACCATTCTAATTTTTTCAAATCTATTCCCAGCATGACACAAAACTGTTTTTTGTTTTGGTCCAACCTAATTTATTCATATCTTTATGTATGAGTGCCTAGATAGATCTATCTCATATATTACATGGAACATATTACTCTATTCCAAATTACAGGATCATTCATTAGTCATTATATTAATAAGAGACATCCCGATATCCCTTTAATACATTCGAAGGTCTCTTTTATTAACTTTATTAGCAATTGATAGTAGAAAGTAATATTTTTTTTATAGTTATCGTCTATCCCTATGAGGTACCATACAAAATGGAACGATCTTAGAAGGGATATAATGAAATTCCTTAATTCATTCTTCCGGTAAGGATCGATTTGATGGATCCAACAAACAATGAAAATCAATTCAAAAAGAGAGTGTTCTTATTCGAAGCGCCTCGTGATCTTCAACCAATTCTGTGCTTCAATATAATTACCTGGAGTAAGCGCTATAGCTTGTTTCCAATACTCAGCTGCTTGATCGGACCAAGTCTCTGCGATTTCAGAATCTCCCTGTCGAATGGCCTGTTCTCCCCGGTCGGGATAGGTGGATCAATTCCTTCCCTTAGAACCGTACTTGAGAGTTTCCTACCTCATACGGCTCAGCAGTCAACTCTTTTGGCGTTCCGTCTTAATCTACTGTATCTAACTGAATGAGATTTCTCGTAAATCCATCCCATTTTCCGGAATTAACCAAATAACCAGAAGAGGTTAATTACATGATTTTCAAACTCAAATTTCCATCAATCAAATAATCAGTTTTATCTCTTCTCCCACCTTCAGAAGAATGAAGCTGAAGCATAGATATCTCCATCTCCCCCTATCGTTAGAATTTTCTGAAAGGTAACTATCTCATTTTCGTTCGTATAGAAATTCATTATAGAATCTTTGAAAAATACCTTTCTCGATAATAAAGGACTTACTATCTTTGGGATCTGATGCTACACCGCTGCTCAGCACCTTAGTGGATCAACTCTATTACATAAGTTGATTCCTAACTTTATATCTCATATCTTGACATAAGTAAGCAGGTCTTATTGTATGGGCCCAAAACCTCAATCATTGATCTTTACGGTGCTTCCTCTATCAATTAGATCTTTTATCCATAGAAATCAGTATATAGGCCATATCCATTTCTTCATATCCCGGCTCCTATGAAGTCTCTTTCTTTGCTACAGCTGATAAAAACCGTTCCTTTGCACGATGTATATGTAGAAGGCCTTTTTTGTTTTCTTTTGTTTGTTTCTCTTTCTAGTATTTACTAGCGGATTTTCTCTTTCTTTCCTTCTTTACTTTTTTATTATTCTTCTTTTTCTTATTCTTTATTATTATTATTCTATTCTCTTTCTATTCTTCTTTCTATTCTATAGTAGAGATAGTCGCACGTAATGACAGATCACGGCCATATTATTAGAAGCTTGTGGTAAGAATGGATTTCGTTCTAGTGCCCGAAAATAATATTCCAAAGCCTTCGTATGTTCTCCGTTGCTTGTGTGGATAAGTCCTATATTATAGAGTATATAACTTCGATCATAGGGATCAATTTCTGGTCGCGTAGCTTCATAATAATTCTGTAAAGCTTCCGCATAATTTCCTTCAGATTGAGCTGACATCCGTTACGGTCGTTCATTCCATTCAAAGGATCTCCGTTCCAGAACCGTACGTGAGATTTCCATCTCATACGGCTCCTCCCCTTCTGTGCATAGTAATAAGAGGAATAATCTATGGAATCAAAAAAGATTAAAATATTCTCATTATGTTATAAACTGACAGGGGCTGGTGTTTTTACAAGAAATCTCTAGCCAGCCTTCCTGCAAGAGGCCCTTTCTGAATGTCTTAATACCAAGCGTCTTGGTCCTAGATAAAAATGGTAGCTTCCCCCAACAATTTCTTTGTCCTCAACGCTCCATATTTCCAGGAATTAGACACTTCAACGATCTTCGATGGTTATACGGGTATCCAAAGTACGAACGAGATGGATGTTTGTTGTCCCAACCATTCTTGTTAGTCCCAATCCCAATAGAGCAAAAGGGATAATTTATAACAAAGTTTTTATGTTGTTGATTTCTAGGTGTAGTGCTTCTTCCCCTATGCCGCCTATTGGTACTAGTACAGTAGGATTGACCCGCAATAGAGAACCTATAGGTGTAACCTTTCGCTCAATACTAGAATCAACAATTCAAGCATCTGAGGCTGCATCAATCGTGGATACACGACAGAAGGTATTGTTCTATCTACGAACTTCACCTTCACCAAGCGTGGGTTTCTTTCAACAATTTTTTCTTTCCATCCGGAATTTCTCGTAAGGATGGGAGTGGTAAGTAAAAAAAGAATCAAATCGCACCATCTCTGTAATAGGTAAATGCCTCTTTTTCTCCTGAAGTCGTCGGAATGATCCGTAATAAGATATTGGCTACAATTGAAGAGGTCTTATCGATAAAATTGCCATTTATCCGAGATCTAGGCATATTTAGCAATCCACTTTACTTTATAATTATTCTCATTTCCCCTCGGGGAAACTGATCCCACAAACAAAGGAATTGTACAGTACGAAATGACATGACATAAAAACAAACAAATTTTCAAATAAAACAAAACAAAAAAGGTGGACCTTTCACTCAAATGGGTTCTTTTGAACAAGGATAGATAGGAAATCTTCGACTCAGATTGGATTGAATTTCAATATTCAAATTGAACAATATTCAAATTTCATTCAATCAAATTGAGTAGTATATCATACTCTATATTTTTATTTTATTATTTTTATTTCAATTTCATCGAAGTTGAAGAATCTAAAGAATTTTCTCTGATAGCTCGAGAATTTTTTTTGATCCAACCGGACCGGAAAAAAATGTTTTTTATCCCTTGAGCCTCGAAGGGAAGATCTTTCCTTGACGAAAATTTTTATTTTCTAATAATTAGAATATTCTAATTCTACTAATAAATTAGAATATTCTAATTCTACTAATAAGAATAGATTGGTCGGACTTGTACTGCAAGAGTGACTCGCAATTCACTTGGTTCCTGGGCCATAATCATAAGATTTCGTAGGAGAGATGGCCGAGTGGTTCAAGGCGTAGCATTGGAACTGCTATGTAGGCTTTTGTTTACCGAGGGTTCGAATCCCTCTCTTTCCGTACCGTCACCTAATTTACCAACGTTACCGACGGCAATGTATCAAATGCCAGTCGATAGCATTATTCCAACAAGTAATACCTTTCCTTTATAGATATAGAAATTTTCCATTCCTTACTTTTACTGCGGCCTGGCTGTGGTACGGAAAAGAATGGGGAAAGAGCGGACAAGGAATGAGTGATCCAATTATGTCTTATGTTATAGGTGAATAGGAGAAAAATCTGGATCAGACCCCTTAGCCTTAGATAGATCTTTTTTTTTTTCATCGAAAAAAGAAAGTGGCAAAATTGTCCGAAGCTTTCTTATTTCTTAATTTTAGGTTTAAGTCTGACGGGAATAATATTCTACGACTAACAATTCATTGATTTTCAAACCGATCCATTTACTATCTATTATTTGATTTACTAATCCTTTATACTGCAACGAGTAAAGAGTCAAATGTTTTGGCAACTCCTCGTTGGGGGATGAATTCATATGATTTTGAATCAGAGCTCTGGATCTTTCTTTCTCCCTCGTAGTAACAAAATCTCCGGGTTTGCAGCGATAACTTGGTATATCTACTAGACGACCATTAACTAAAATATGTCTATGGTTAACTAATTGTCTGGCTCCAGGAATGGTCGAAGCCATACCCAATCGAAAAAGAATGTTATCCAAACGCATCTCGAGTAGTTGCAGTAAAACCTGTCCTGTTGACCCTTTGGCTTTTCCGGCGATACGAACATATCTAAGTAATTGTCTCTCCGTCAGACCATAATGAAAACGCAATTTCTGTTTTTCTTCTAAACGAATACGATATTGAGATCTTTTTCCAGAACGGGATTGGTTTCTAAGATCACTTCCAGATCTAGGTCTTTTACTAGTTAGTCCCGGTAAAGCCCCCAGACGGCGTATTTTTTTGAAACGAGGTCCTCGGTAACGAGACATAAAGACTCCTTATTTTACAGAATTAACATGAACCTAAACTAAAACTGAACTCCACTATAAACGAATCTAAACCTACTGAATTTGTAGTACTATAAAGAAAAGAAAGAAAAAGAAAAGAAAGAGGAATGAGATGAATTGTATCAATATCCCGATTTTTTTGTAGTATATGTATATATGGGAAGGGAAGTAAGGATCCTTTTCATGATTCGTTCCGTAGAGATCCAACTGCTCCAATCAGTTTTTTATTCATAGTTGGAAGTTTCCGCGGCATAACATAATGGATTGGTAACTCGGCGTTTGGAAGAAAAAGGAAGAGTCTTTTCAGTATTTCTTGATCTCATCAGTCTTTCTTTATCTCAAAAAAAGGTAAATTATGGAAAAAAATTGAACAAATAGAGAAAAGCCGGCTATCGGAATCGAACCGATGACCATCGCATTACAAATGCGATGCTCTAACCCCTGAGCTAAGCGGGCTGGGCTCACATAGATATCTATCTATATCATACTAGATAGATTCAGGAAGATGCTGGGATCAATTATAGCCGATCGGACTTAAGGATGCAATCCAGATCATAATGATACGTTCCTACGGTTCCCTTCGTAAAGGGAGGAGAGGGGACGAAAAAAGGAAGAATGAATATCGACCCTTACACTATTACAGGTCGAGCGAGAGAAATGAGAGGAGGAGAGGGAGATACATGCGATATGGATATTCTATATCCATCTATATTGCTATATTGAATTGGAGATGCATCAATGATAGAATCATTAATCATTTCTGATTGAATCAAATACTGCTTCGATAGAAATGCAAGAAGAGGGATAAAAATAAGAAGAAAGAAATAGGAGTAGACACTTTTCTTATATCGGATAGTATCTAATGGATGGGTCCAATAGGAATGAAAGGGGTTAAATAGAATTACAATGAGACCCCGGTCTTACTCAAAAGGGGATATGGCGAAATTGGTAGACGCTGCGGACTTAATTGAATTGAGCCTTGGTATGGAAACCTACTAAGTGGTAGCTTCCAAATTCAGAGAAACCCTGGAATGAGAAATGGGCAATCCTGAGCCAAATCCTGTTTAAAGAAAACAAGGGTTCCTAGAAAGCGGGAAGGATAGGTGCAGAGACTCAACGGAAGCTGTTCCAACAAATGGAGTTGACCTCGTCGGTAGAGGAAGAAATCCATATATAGGACTCCGGAAGGGATGATCCTATGTATTGGTATTGAATTGAAATATTCAACGATTAATTACGACCCGGATCCTTTATATTACACATTTCAAAATTCTTGTGAATCGATCCCAAGTTGAAGGAAGAAATATTCATTGATCAAATCATTCACTCCAGAGTCTGATAGATTATTTGAAAAAATGATTGATCGGACTAGAATAGAATAAAGATAGAGTCCCATTCTACATGTCAATCCCGGCAACAATGCAATTTGTAGTAAGAGGAAAATCCGTTGACTTTATAAATCGTGAGGGTTCAAGTCCCTCTATCCCCAATTAAAGAAAGGCCTGGTTTACTCCCTAATCATTCATTCTCCTTTTTTCGTCAGCCTTTCTAAACTAAAACTCAATTAGGTATCTTTCTCGTTTACTCTACTGTTTCACAAATAGATCCGAGCATAAATTCTTCCTCTTACCACAAGTGTTGTTATTGTGATAAATACAATCTATGTCCAAACGAACATATATGGACAAGAAATCCCCATGATTGAATCATTCACAGTACGTTAACCTTACAAAAAAAGGAAAGGGTCAAATCCAATTTCAATTGCAGATCCAGGTAAGATTTTGTAATATTTAGATTTAGTTTAGTTACTTTCATTGACATAGGTTTAGGTGCTCTAATACAATGATACAATGCATAGGGTATGGTCGGGATAGCTCAGCTGGTAGAGCAGAGGACTGAAAATCCTCGTGTCACCAGTTCAAATCTGGTTCCTGGCATGTGGTTAATGTTCTGATCCCTTTTCATTTCTTTTCTTCATTTTCTATTTTCATATTCCTTCGCTCTATCCTCCATTGCTTTCTGGGGCCCATCTAATGCGACGGGCACAATACATAGTCATGATACAAAACAAGAACTCTTTTGATTCATCCTATCGGCTCTGCTCATCCTAAATAGGTATCTTCCAGATAGAATAGAGGAAGAGAAATGAAGCTTTTTTTATCCCATCATGATACGAATGAAATGAGAGCCTATATTGTCCTGTTTCATCTGAAACGTAAACATTTTTTTTTGAATATCTGGGCCGTAGAAGCGGAGATTAGTTTCTTATCATTCAATGAGCATCCTGTATCTCATAGAAATTAGGGGCAATATAATCCTTGCGTAGGGGCCAACCAATCCAACTTTCAGGCATCAAGATACGTTTCAGGCGTGGGTGGTTATCATAATAGATTCCCAACATATCATAAGATTCCCGTTCTTGAAAATCAGAACTTTTCCAGATCCAGAAAACAGACGGGATTCTAGGATTCCTCCTTTGGGCAAATACTTTTATACATACCTCTTCTGGTTGATCCACACCATATTGTATTCTCGTAAGATGATACACACTAGCTAATAATCCTCCTGGTGCTACATCATAAGCACACTGAGAACGTAGGTAATTGTAACCATATACATATGAAATGACAGCAATGGAGTACCAATCTTCGGATTTAATTTGTAAAGTTTCTATTCCTTGGTAATCGAAGCCCAAAGATCTATGAACTAGCTCATGCTTGACTAGCCAAGCAGATAAACGACCCTGCATTTTCTTGATTTCTCCCACATTTGTATTTGTATGAGTATTTTACATTTACGATAAAATTTCTCAAGATTGATCTACTCTTTTCTTTGTTATTCTGCACAAAAACATTCTAATTCACTAATTCGTGAGAAGATAGTGAACTCTTGTATTTGAAAAGTGTTTCAGAAAGTATCTCTGAAGTAGATGGCGATTGGTAGAGTAACTCTTGATCGTAATTTCCGGTATGAATACTGCGCCCAACCCGAAACTTGTGATTGGTAGTAAAACATCGATCTTCCTGTTGGGACGCGATTCTATCTTCATAGATTTCTCGAGATACCTTCTTACGAAGTTTCGTTATAGCGTCTATAATTGCTTCTGGTTTAGGTGGGCAACCCGGCAAATAGACATCCACAGGAATTAACTTATCGACTCCTCGAACGGTACTATAAGAATCGGTACTGAACATTCCTCCTGTAATAGTACAGGCTCCCATAGCAATGACATATTTTGGTTCAGGCATTTGTTCATATAATCTTACTAAAGAAGGAGCCATTTTCATTGTCACTGTGCCGGCTGTTAAAATAAGGTCGGCTTGCCTAGGACTCGATCTTGGTACCAGTCCATAACGATCAAAGTCGAATCGCGAGCCAATTAATGAAGCAAATTCAATGAAGCAGCAACTGGTACCATATAGAAGCGGCCATAAACTGGAGAGTCTTGACCAATTCGAAAGATCATTCGGTGTAGTTGAAATAACTGAATTTGGGGTTGTTCGGTCAAGTAACGGAAACTCCATAGAATTCATAACTGTCTCAATGGAATCTTTTCCTTCTTTTTTATCGTCTGAATATTCAGGAGCTAAGACCATTCCAATGCTCCTTTTCGCCATGCATAAACTGAACCAACGATTGGGATAAGCACGAAAATTAAAGCTTCTATAAATACGGATACGCCCAATACATCGAAACTCATGGCCCATGGATAAAGAAAAACGGTTTCGACATCAAAAACAACAAAAACTAGGGCAAACATGTAATAGCGGATTCGGAATTGTATCCAAGCATCCCCCATTGGTTCTATACCTGATTCATAACTAGAGACCTTTTCTGGTCCTTGACTAATCGGGGCTAAAACTCCAGAAATTAGAAATGCCAAAATAGGAATAACACTTGATATCATTAGAAATGCCCAGAAAATATCATATTCGTGAAGCAGAAACATAGATGTACTCCTATGAATGTAAAATATACCGAATTATTCGATTCGAATTGGAATTGTCAATTAACCCATAACTTTTTACTCGAAACAAGAATTGATTGTGATCGGGCCACATAGATTGTTTCGTTGATGTGGGCCGTGTCTCGTTCAAGATTCATCCAACGAGATCTCGCTTACTTATTTTTTTTTTTATTTATTATTTTAATTAATTAATTAGATTTATTATTCCATTTATTATTATAGATATAGATAGATTTTTATTCTATTAATATCTATTAATTAATATTATATTCATAATGGTATTCATTTTTTAGTATTTATTTTATTTATATTTACTTGGTTACTTGAGAAGAAAATTCTCTCATTTTGACTCGGGCTCTCCTTTTCCATAAAAAAAAAAAAATGAATGAATTCAATTCATTAAAAAATATGTCTACTTTTTTCTCTTTAGTCTCCGCGATTTCTAATTTAGAATAGAGTGGTGTGTGGTAGAAAGTCCAGGTATTTTCATCTCGGAATTTCTGTTATGGTATATTCTACTTGGCTTGGCGGATTCTCCTCATTAGGATCTTCTATTTTTATTCAGATCTTTCTTTCTATTGATTTCGATACGGAATGTATTGACCCATTAGATTCTCTTTACTTGTCCCGGATTCCTATTGAATTGGCATTGACGTTGAATTCCGAGAAAGCCTTACAAACCCTTAACTTAATCTTATCTTCTTTATCTTCTAGAACAACTATAGATTCTTATTCTATAGATATTATTCTATAGAACTATAGATATAGAACAATTAACAAGAAACTCTATAACAATAACAATGAATAATAACAATTCAGAGATTTCTATACGCAAACTGAAACTTATTAGGTAAAGAAATAAAAGAAGGCACAATCGTTGATACATTTAGGTTTAGGACCAATTCGTTGGTTCAGAGATAATGAATTTGTGTTCTTGTTCCGCCAAAAAGGGATGAGTCGGAGATTCCTAATTCTTCCTCTTCCAGCTCAATCAAAGAGAACCCTAATCTTCTTGCATAAATATAGGGTCTGCATCAGTGGAATTGGAATGATGAGCAATTGGAGTAGATTGAGATAGAAAAAACTATTTCTTTTTTCTTTTTTGTTTTGTAATTGTACAGAAACAGAAAAAGACTACTTGCCTTACTAGGCTGGTTATACGAATAAAAATCCCCATATTAACAATGAAACTCTTTCGTAAGTTTCATTTTTGAAACACCAGCTTTTCCACAAGCACAAGAATGTGTCCTGGGTCCGCGCGACTATTTTAGTCGATTTTTTTATTGATTTTTATTTAACTTCATATCATATATTTATCTACATAAATATCATATTTCTATTTTCTATTGATTTTCAATTTTATTTTCAATCTATTTATTCATTATTCAATTTCTATATGAAATAAAATATCAGATTTCTAATTTCAATTGAATAGTTAATAGAATTTGAGAATTTGATATTTCTATATCTTATTAAGAATTTGATATTCCATCTAATTTTCAATAGATTTTGAAATAGATTTGAGATTTTTTTGATCTTTTATCTAATCTAAAAAATTCTAATCTAATTTATATTAATCTAATATATATTATTAGTCTATTAGATATTTATTTAGATTCGATTTGTAGATTGGGTCAGGTTGGAGTTTTTAGGCCAGACTCGTGCATGATATATATCTGTTTATTTTGACTTTGACTTCGTCAATTTACTCGATTGGATATACCAAAGGTGTACCAATAAATCTTTGATCTTGAACAGGAAAAGAAGAAAAAGTTGTATCTAAGCACATCTACTAATTCATCCACGAAGATTGAATTGATGAATAAAAATCAAAGAAATATAAAGAATAGATAATTGGAATGAATTCTTCCTTGTCATTTTCATGTCCCTAGGAAATTTGGGGGAGCATGTGGGAATGGTTTATATGTTATAGCCCAACCGTCCGTCTAGGATAGTCTGACATAAATGGGTACAAAACCAAAACAAATTATAAATGTATAGGGCTATACGGACTCGAACCGTAGACCTTCTCGGTAAAACAGATCAAACTGATTATTATCAAAATGATTCGAACTGTTTCAAAAACCCAACATGCACTTTTTTTGCTTTTGCATTGGGCTCTTTCATCAACTGATGGAAAGATCAGTTAGTCCACCATCTTTTTCTTTACAGAAAGATAACGATATGGTTCCATATGCTCCGTTTCCTTCTTTTTCTTCTGATCCGGGAGCAATACCAAAGTGTTTCAAAGGGTTACCTTGACGTAGGTCTGCTTCTGGCCTGGATCAACCCCAATGGAGTCTCTATCGTTCCGCTGCAAGAGTCAAATATGATACTTCATACACCTCAAAGTTCATAGGACGAAAAGAGGTTGTTCTTTTGAGGTCCCCATACTCATTAAGCCTAGCATTGAATGGATTGGGTATTCACCTTATCAATTATCAAATCAATGATTGGTTCTATTTGGCACCCAAACCCTATAAAATAGGACCAAACCTAATATTTGTCAGGCTATTGTTCTCTCGTTTCCTAGAATCAATGGAGTAAGACATCGATCTCTCAGATCAATTCCCTTGATTGCATGATGGACTCCCCTGAAAAAGCATTGGCGCGCGTGTAAACGAGGTGCTCTACCTAACTGAGCTATAGCCCTACCCTTGTCATAGACATCTTACCATATGGATCCTTTTTTGTCAAGATGAATATTCCATGATTCAGACATGATAGCTCTGATCGGGTTCCCGCCAAAGGTTGGTATTGCTTAGAAGTAATATTCCCTCTATAATCCTTGATGTGTACCATCCTTTCTCTTTGTGATGATAAATAACCTACTTAACCCAGTGGTTAGAGTATTGCTTTCATACGGCGGGAGTCATTGGTTCAAATCCAATAGTAGGTAGAACTTATTAGGTACCGGAGTCAATGGCATCTAATAAGTTTTTCTACCCTTGTTATTGATTTTGTATATTTTCACTATTCCCACCCCACTATTCTTGTTCGTTGCACCAGATTACCCTTGTTGTATCCAATTGACGGAATGGAATGGTGTATAAACAACACTTTTTTGATTCTGATGATACTTCGACTAGGACGAAATAGCATTGATAGCCTCTACTCGTGTCCTAGCTCGTCTAAGAGCTAAATTCGCCTCAATTGTTTGTCTCTTGCCCTCAGCTCTACTCAGGTTAGCTTCAGCTATTTCAAGAGTTTGCTGAGCTTCTTGCGGATCAATGTCACTACCCTTCTCCGCATCATTTACTAATATGGTTATTTCATTATTGCCTATTCTGGCGAAACCACCCATCAGAGCCATTGTTAACCATTGCTCCTGGAGGCGTATTTTGAGAATACCTATATCTACAGCCGTTGCAATAGGTGCGTGATTTGGTAATACACCAATTTGGCCACTATTAGTGGATAAAATAATTTCTTTCACTTCTGAATCCCAAATGATTCGATTAGGAGTCAGTACACAAAGATTTAGGGTCATTTCTTTAATTTGCTCTCTACTTCTAAGTTAATAGCCTTCGCGGTAGCTTCATCGATGTTACCTACCAGATAAAAAGCCTGTTCGGGAAGACCATCTAATTCTCCGGAAAGGATCAGTTGAAACCCCCTAATTGTTTCTGCGAGACCAACATATTTTCCTGGAGAACCAGTAAATACCTCTGCTACGAAGAAGGGTTGTGATAAGAAACGCTCAATTTTTCGTGCTCTTGCTACGGTTAAACGATCCTCTTCGGATAATTCATCTGGTCCAAGAATAGCTATAATGTCTTGAAGTTCTTTGTAACGTTGTAAAGTTTGCTTAACTCTTTGCGCAGTTTCGTAATGTTCCTCGCCAACGATCCGAGGTTGGAGCATAGTTGACGTTGAATCTAAAGGATCTACTGCTGGATAGATACCTTTGGCGGCTAATCCTCTTGATAGTACGGTAGTAGCATCTAAATGTGCAAATGTCGTGGCAGGAGCAGGGTCGGTCAAATCGTCTGCAGGTACATAAACTGCTTGAATGGAAGTTATGGATCCCTCTTTAGTAGAAGTAATTCTTTCTTGCAAAGAACCCATTTCTGTACTAAGGGTAGGTTGATAACCCACGGCAGAAGGCATTCTGCCTAATAAGGCAGAGACTTCTGATCCTGCTTGAACGAAGCGAGAGATATTGTCAATAAATAGAAGTACGTCTTGCTCATTAACATCACGGAAATATTCCGCCATTGTTAGGGCAGTTAAACCAACTCTCATCCGAGCTCCCGGCGGTTCATTCATCTGACCATAGACTAGAGCGACTTTTGATTCTGCAATATTTTGTTCATTAATCACTCCGGATTCTTTCATTTCCATGTAAAGATCATTTCCTTCACGAGTACGTTCTCCTACTCCGCCAAATACAGATACACCTCCGTGAGCTTTGGCAATGTTATTGATCAATTCCATGATGAGTACTGTTTTACCCACTCCGGCTCCCCCGAATAGCCCGATTTTTCCTCCACGACGATAAGGAGCTAAAAGATCCACCACTTTAATGCCTGTTTCAAAGATTGATAATTTGGTATCTAACTGTATAAAGGCAGGCGCAGATCTATGAATAGGAGATGTTGTGCGAGTATCTACAGGACCTAAATTATCAACTGGTTCTCCAAGAACGTTGAAAATTCGTCCGAGAGTAGCTTCGCCAACCGGAACACTTAGAGGAGCTCCCGTGTCAATCACTTCCATTCCTCTCATTAGACCATCTGTAGCACTCATAGCTACCGTTCTAACTCGATTATTTCCTAATAATTGTTGTACCTCACAAGTCACATTAATTTGCTGACCGGCAGTATCTCGACCCTTAACTACCAAAGAGTTGTAAATATTGGGCATCTTGCCCGGGGGAAAAGCTACATCCAGTACCGGACCAATGATTTGAGCGATACGTCCCACGCTTTTTTCCGCAAGTGTAGAAGCCCCGGAACCAGAACCAGAAGTAGTAGGATTGATTCTCATAAAAAAAGTGAAATATGCCCACGAATATTACCGAATCAAAAATGTCCGATAGCAAGTGGATCGGTTAATTCAATAAGAAAGGGGAGTTCTCGCTCGATTTAGTTGGTACTATCTAATTGAATCCGATTCAATCGCTCACTGATTCAATGAATGAATTTTCATTTTCAAGTTCAACCAACCTTTCCTTTCGTCGAGATATCGAGTATACGAATAAAAATCATGAGAAAGTATTTACTTTTCTTTATCTGCATCTCTTTTCTATTATAGACAATCCCATCTAGTCATATTCATATATAGAATTTGAACCCGAACTCCCTTTCTGATTCATTATTTCTATCTCATTGGTCGTTGTCCCCTATTTCAGCATATTGATTTTCGCCTATTCCTTTTTTATTTTCTATCTTTTCATGTATGGATTCTGTCTATTTCTACACATACGATTTACATATACAACATATATCACTGTCAAGAGTGAATTTGTTATGTTATTATTTGAATGAAACAAAAATAAAAAACGAAAAAAAAAGAAGGGGGTCAGGAGGTCAATTAGGAACTTGAAAAACAAGGATTGGGTTGCGCCATACATATGAAACAGTATACAATAATGATGTATTTGGCGAATCCACGTAGTCCAATAACGGACCTTATTTTAATTAGTTGATAGTTTATATTAGTATTAGTTGAGAATTTTGTGAGATATTTTTGTGAAAGGCTTTCATTCACGCCTAATCCATGTCGAGTAGACCCTGTCCCTGTGAGAATTCTTAATTCATGAGTTGTAGGGAGGAACTTATGTCACCAAAAACAGAGACTAAAGCAAGCGCTGGATTCAAAGCCGGTGTTAAAGATTACAGATTGACTTATTATACTCCTGACTATGAAACCCTAGCTACTGATATCTTGGCAGCATTCCGAGTAACTCCTCAACCTGGAGTTCCACCTGAGGAAGCAGGAGCTGCAGTAGCTGCCGAATCTTCCACTGGTACATGGACAACTGTGTGGACCGATGGACTTACCAGCCTTGATCGTTACAAAGGTCGATGCTACCACATCGAACCCGTTGCTGGGGAAGAAAATCAATATATTGCTTATGTAGCTTATCCTTTGGACCTTTTTGAGGAAGGTTCTGTTACTAACATGTTTACTTCCATCGTAGGTAATGTATTTGGGTTCAAAGCCCTACGAGCTCTACGTCTAGAGGATCTGCGAATTCCTCCTGCTTATTCCAAAAGTTTCCAAGGCCCACCTCATGGCATCCAAGTCGAGAGAGATAAATTGAACAAGTATGGTCGTCCCCTATTAGGATGTACTATTAAACCAAAATTGGGGTTATCTGCCAAAAACTACGGTAGAGCGGTTTATGAATGTCTCCGTGGTGGGCTTGATTTTACCAAGGATGATGAGAATGTGAACTCCCAACCATTTATGCGTTGGAGGGACCGTTTCTTATTTTGTGCCGAAGCTCTTTATAAAGCACAGGCAGAAACAGGTGAAATCAAAGGACATTACTTGAATGCTACTGCAGGTACATGCGAAGAAATGATGAAAAGGGCCGTATTTGCCAGAGAATTGGGAGTTCCTATCGTAATGCATGACTACTTAACAGGAGGATTCACTGCAAATACTAGTTTGGCCCATTATTGCCGAGACAATGGCCTACTTCTTCACATTCATCGCGCAATGCATGCAGTTATTGATAGACAAAGGAATCATGGTATACACTTTCGTGTACTAGCTAAAGCATTGCGTATGTCTGGTGGGGATCATATTCACGCTGGTACCGTAGTAGGTAAACTGGAAGGGGAACGGGATGTCACTTTGGGTTTTGTTGATCTACTACGTGATGATTTTATTGAAAAAGACCGAAGTCGCGGTATTTATTTCACTCAAGATTGGGTATCTATGCCAGGTGTTCTGCCCGTGGCTTCAGGTGGTATTCACGTTTGGCATATGCCTGCCCTGACCGAGATCTTTGGGGATGATTCCGTATTACAGTTCGGCGGAGGAACTCTGGGACACCCTTGGGGAAATGCACCCGGTGCAGTAGCTAATCGGGTGGCTTTAGAAGCGTGCGTACAAGCTCGTAATGAGGGACGTGATCTTGCTCGTGAAGGTAATGAAGTTATCCGTGAAGCTAGCAGGTGGAGCCCAGAACTAGCTGCTGCTTGTGAGGTATGGAAGGAGATCAAATTCGAATTCGAAGCAATGGATGTCTTGTAATCCAGTGATTCCTGTTCGTTCCCCCAATAGCAATTAAATTCGGCCCAATCTTTTACTAAAAGGATTGAGCCGAATAAAGAATGGGATCCCTATCTATTTGCATCAATATTCAATATGTATATTGCAACATCGAAGGAGAAATCCATTTTCTTCTCTTTCGTCTCTAAGACTAATACTAAGTAGCTCAATGCTTCTATTGTCTATTGTTGGATTCATAATAAATCCTATGGATCTTTGGGATTGGTAGATCATTTTAGATCCTGTAGTTTCGAATCATAGATGAAACCAAGGGTCACAATTCCTTCTACCCATCCTGTATATTGTCCTCTTTGTTTCGTGTTGGAATCTAGACTTATTCCAAGCAAATAAATTCTACAGAGGAGGGAACAAATATTTCTCTTTTGGATGAGGATTTGTCCACGGCATGGGAAAATATCATTTTTATTGAAAAAAGGGTTCTATCATCATATAGAATGAGCGATGCTCCGGATTCCAAAAAAAAAGAGAATCATTTCTTTTAATACTAATACTCATTCTCACTAATTATTACTTAATTTTAATGATCCTAGTAATTGGATCTATATACTTAATTTTGATTCTGATAGGAGATGAATGAATATAGTAAAATGACGATTTATCGAATGACTATTCATCTATTGTATTTCCAAACAGGAGGCAGGAGGGCTCTATGGAAAAATGTGGGTTCAATTCGATGTTGTCTAATGAAGAGTTAGAGCACAAGTGTGAACTAAGTAAATCGATGGACAGTCTTGGTCTTATTGGAAATACCGGTGCAGGTGGAGGCCCTACTCTAATATTCGATGTCAGGGACATTTTGAGTTTGATCTATGATGACACTTTTAAGCTTAAGGATAGGAATGGTGACAGCTATTCCGTATATTTTGATATTGACAATAAGATCTTTGAGATTGACGATGATAGTGACTCTCTGAGTGGACTAGATATTGAAAATCAGAATCAGATCTTCTTTGATATTTACAATGATAGTGACTCTCTGAGTGAACTAGATAGTGAAAATAAGAACTTTGAGATTCACAATGAGAGTGACTTTATGAGTAAACTAGAAAGTTCTTTTTTTAGTTATCTCACTTATAGTTGTCTCAAACGAAGAAGTTCTTTTTCTAGTTATCCTACTTCTCTCACTTCTAGTAATCTCAATAGTGGATCTAAGAGTTACAACCCCTACTATGATCCTTACATGCATGACACTAGATATAGTTGGAATAATGACATTAACATTAATAGTTGCATTGACAGTTATATTCGTTGTGAAATCGATTCCATTTCAAGTGGTAGCGACAATTGCAGTGACAGTTATATTTATAGTTACATCTGTAGTGAGGGGGTAAGTTATAGTGACAATGGGAGTTCTAGTATAAGAACTAGAACTAGTACTAGTAGTGGCAGTTCTTACCATATAAGAGGAAGATCTAATAATTTCGAGAAAAATAAAAAATTAAAAAAATTATGGGTTCAATGCGAGAATTGTTATGCATTGAATTATAATAAATTATTTAGGTCTAAAATGAATGTTTGTGAACAATGTGGATATCACTTGAAAATGAGTAGTTCAGATAGAATCGAACTCTCGATTGATCCAGGCACTTGGCATCCTATGGATGAAGATATGGTCTCCACGGATCCTATTGAATTTCATTCGGAGGAGGAACCTTATAGAGATCGCATCGATTCTTATCAAAGACAAGCAGGTTTAACCGATGCTGTTCAAACAGGCATAGGTCAACTAGAAGGTATTCCGATAGCAATTGGAGTTATGGATTTTCAGTTCATGGGAGGTAGTATGGGATCCGTAGTAGGCGAGAAAATAACTCGTTTGATCGAGTATGCTATTGATAGATCTCTCCCAGTTGTTATTGTGTGTGCTTCTGGAGGAGCACGCATGCAAGAAGGAGGTTTGAGCTTGATGCAAATGGCTAAAATATCTTCCGCTTCATATAATTATCAATCCAATAAAAAGTTATTCTATGTATCAATCCTTACATCTCCTACAACCGGTGGAGTGACTGCGAGTTTCGGTATGTTGGGAGATATCATTATTGCCGAACCCAATGCCTACGTAGCATTTGCAGGCAAAAGAGTAATTGAAGAAACATTAAATAAGAAAATACCTGATGGTTTGCAAGTAGCTGAGTATTCATTCCATAAGGGCTTATTCGATTCAATCGTACCACGTAATCCTTTAAAAGGTGTTCCAAGTGAGTTATTTCAGCTCCACGGTTTCTTTTCTTCTACTTTCCATCCCCTTAAATCAAATAAAGTAAAGCGCTAAGTTCAGTTATTTGGAGCCAAAAAGTATTTAGCTGATCGGAATCGAAGTAACAAAAAAGGAGTTTTCTTTCCTGACATAAGTTCTAATTTCTAATTGTAGTACGAATCAGATAGATCTATTATTCTACCTTTATTCCTGACTAGTAATCAGGAACCCTCTATCAACAGGATAAGATTTTCGTTCCGCAAAATTGAAATTAGAGAAAAAAAAGATTTCATGTTCTTGTTATGTATCAAATATTCTAATAGACTCATTCTAATTCTAATTCTAATATAGGAGTAGGAGTCTTGCATATTTATATATCTCCCGGAGTACCAGAACCCTTTCTTAGTATGAATCCCTCTTGGATCGAGTTCTAACGAATCCTTTGAGAACTCGTGAGAAACTTTAGAAACATAGGGACGGGGGAACAATAAAATTCTCATACATATATTTCGTGGAGAAAAAAGAAAATAAAAGAAATAGGTACACCTTTTTTTGAATTCATTTCAATTCTACATTCCTTGTACCTTGTATTTATAATATACTTAATATATAGATAATAATAATAGTTCTTTACTTATCCTTTCTTTTCTTTCTTTAGAGAAGAATTCCAAATAAAATATTAAATCGAGGCACCCGTTTTATGACAGATTTCAACTTACCCTCTATTTTTGTGCCTTTAATAGGCCTGTTCTTTCCGGCAATTGCAATGGCTTCTTTATTTCTTCATGTTCAAAAAAACAAGATTGTCTAGGGACCAAATCTCATCAATTTATTTCAATCATTAGATTGTAATACAGATAAGATAGCTATTTAGTTTAGTGGGGGGAGGACAACATAGCTCCGGACGCAAATAAAAGAGCTGTTATCCATTGTTATCCATGTAAATAGATGATATATGGATAAATGCATGTGTATGCGGATATAGCTGTTTGAAATTTGGATCGAATTTTTGCAATCTAATCGAAATATAGAACTATAGATTAGATTATAAATAGAGATTCTTATATATGTAGATACATACATATATAAACATACATAATGGGATCATATGAAGGAAGGTTTATTGATACCTAACTTATTCGATGAGTTGTTCCTGATAGTTCACTCATGATAGTGCTAGTTGATGAGAGTTACTTCGGGAGCCAAAAGAGTAAAATAAATTTTGGTCATTTTCTCAATTTCAATAGGATGCAACTGGATCTAGTATGAACTGGCGATCAGAACGTATATGGATAGAACTTATAACAGGTTCTCGAAAAACAAGTAATTTATGTTGGGCCTGTATACTTTTTTTAGGTTCACTAGGGTTCTTATTAGTTGGAACTTCCAGTTATCTTGGCAGGAATCTGATATCCTTATTTCCGTCTCAGCAAATCCTTTTTTTTCCACAAGGGATTGTGATGTCTTTCTATGGTATCGCAGGTCTGTTCATTAGCTCCTATTTGTGGTGCACAATTCTGTGGAATGTAGGTAGTGGTTATGATAGATTTGATAGAAAAGAAGGAATAGTGTGTATTTTTCGTTGGGGATTTCCTGGAAGAAATCGTCGTATCTTCTTTCGATTCCTTATGAGAGATATTCGGTCAATCAGAATGGAAGTGAAAGAAGGTATTTATCCTCGTCGTGTCCTTTCTATTGAAATAAGAAGCCAGGGATCCATTCCCTTGACTCGTACTGATGAAAATTTCACTCCACGAGAAATTGAGCAAAAAGCTGCTGAATTGGCCTATTTCTTGCGCGTACCAATTGAAGTATTTCGAACCAAGGAATGGATACTTTCTCGGCATGGGGTAGGAAACCCAAGAATCCTTTTTAATACAACTGATCTTTCTTCGGAACAACTGCTCATTCGATCAAAACATGTTAGTGTTAGATCCTATTTCCGCTCCCTTCTGTTCCCCGTCTGCGGCTAGGGGAGCAGTCCAAGGTATACAGAACCATCATTTCATTAGGTCCTCCAAAACAAAAGAGTGAATCTTTCGTGTGTATGGAACTCAACTCGTTCTATTCGTAACAAGTCTAATATAAGAAAATAAGTATGTATTCATCACATATATCAGAGCAGAACGGTTCGGAGTACAGAATGTTTTTAGGACTAGGACAAAGATTTCAAATTGAAACCTTAGATATAGATGGATCTCCCATAAATTCTTCTTTTGTCAATCAAGATCTCTTTCTTTTTATCTTCTCCTTTGTTTTTGTTCCTTGATGACCAAACGATTGGATCTCTAATAAAATAACCATCCAATTTATCTCTCGTTTCGCCACCTATTTTTCATTATCAGTATTCTTCAGAAATCTCTTCTGCCTTATTCCTTTTTCTGTGGGTAACCGGTGAAACATTTCGAAATAATTGAATTGATCGATCCAAATTCTTCCGTCCCGAAATCTGAATATGAATACTATACTAAAACTAAACTATGATGTTATTTATGTTATCTTTTGTTATCCTATGTTATTTTCTTACTTCAAGTGGTTTTTTCGGGCATTTATCGAAAGGAATAAATAGAGATACAATTGGTCCGAATTTGACCAATTGAGATATCTGGGAACGATATTTCATTATCTCTCTCATTCGAAACGGAGGGACCCTTAATTCTATAATTCTTATTCTTTCTAGTTCTAGGGTCAAGACAAGCAAGGACTAAAAAATTAAACACAATACAATATGGAATAGATCTATAGGTGCGATACCTTGTTGTAGAACTCATGCTTCATCCAAATATCAGACAGAGTCGACGAATGAATCAGGTTCATTAACAATTCCCAGATTGGAAGTGTCCAAAAAGAAAGCATTGACTTCCCTGCCATATCTTGCATCTATAGTTTTTCTGCCCTGGGGAATTTCTCTATCATTTAATAAAAGTCTGGAACCTTGGGTTACAAATTGGTGGAATACCAGCCAATACGAAACTCTTTTGAATGAAATTCAAGAAAATAACGTTCTTGAAAGATTCATAGAATTAGAAGAACTATTCTTGTTGGACGAAATGATAAGGGATTATCCGGAGACACATATACAAAAGCTTCGTATAGGAATCCACAAAGAAACGATAGAATTGGTGAAAATGTACAATCAAGATTATATCCATATAATTTCGCATTTCTCGACAAATATAATGAGTTTCGCTATTCTAAGTGCTTATTCTATTCTGGGTAATGAAGAACTTGTCACTCTTAATTCTTGGGTTCAGGAATTCTTCTATAACTTAAGTGACACAATAAAAGCTTTTTCTATTCTTTTACTAACCGATTCATGTATCGGATTTCATTCGCCCCATGGTTGGGAACTCATGATTGGTTCGGTCTACAAAGATTTTGGATTTAGTCATAACGATCAAATTATATCCGGTCTCGTTTCCACTTTTCCGGTTATTCTAGATACTATTTTGAAATATTGGATCTTCCATCATTTAAATCGTATATCTCCTTCACTTGTAGTTATTTATCATTCAATGAATGAATAAAACTTATTTCATTTGACATCAACAAAATTGTAATGTGACTTCATACATAAACAAAGCATTCAAAATCTTACTGATTCTTTATACTTTATTTACCCGTAGATTCCTTCTATTCTATATTTCAGTACAACGGCAGAATCGTGAATAGGGAACTATACTAGCTACCTACCTAATTTATTGTAGAAATTTCCGGGATCAATGATTGGGCCATGCAAAATAGAAATACTTTTTCTTGGGTAAAGGAACAGATGACTCGATCCATTTTTGTATCGATGATGATATATATAATAACTCGGGCATCTATTTCAAATGCATATCCTATTTTTGCGCAGCAGGGTTATGAAAATCCGCGAGAAGCAACTGGACGTATTGTATGTGCCAATTGTCATTTAGCTAATAAGCCTGTGGATATTGAGGTTCCACAAGCTGTGCTTCCTGATACTGTATTTGAAGCAGTTGTTAGAATCCCCTATGATATGCAACTGAAACAAGTTCTTGCTAATGGTAAAAAGGGAGGTTTGAATGTAGGAGCTGTTCTCATTTTACCCGATGGATTTGAATTAGCTCCTCCTGATCGTATTTCTCCCGCGATGAAAGAAAAGATAGGTAATTTATCTTTCCAGAGTTATCGCCCCACTAAAAAAAATATTCTTGTGATAGGTCCTGTTCCTGGTCAGAAATATAATGAAATTCTCTTTCCAATCCTTTCCCCGGATCCCGCTACTAAGAAAGAAGTTCACTTCTTGAAATATCCCATATATGTGGGTGGGAATAGAGGAAGGGGTCAGATTTATCCCGATGGGAGCAAGAGTAACAATACAGTTTATAATGCCTCAGCATCAGGGATAATAAGTAGAATAATACGTAAAGAAAAGGGTGGATATGAAATAACCATAGCTAATGCATTGGATGGGCGTCAAGTGGTTGATATTATACCTCCAGGACCGGAACTTCTTGTTTCCGAAGGTGAATCTATCAAACTTGATCAACCATTAACGAGTAATCCCAATGTGGGTGGATTTGGTCAGGGGGATGCAGAAATAGTACTTCAAGATCCATTACGTATCCAAGGTCTTTTTCTCTTTTTGGCATCTGTTATTCTGGCACAAATCTTTTTGGTTCTTAAAAAGAAACAGTTTGAGAAGGTTCAATTGGCTGAAATGAATTTCTAGATCCACGGATTCCTCAACATCGAGTTGGTAAAAAGAGCCGAATTACGATGCAATCATGTATGATTCAAAAAAAATCATGGAAAGCCTTTTGCTTGTTTATACTATTTTTTTCTTTTTCTGCGGGAATTACTTGTATCCCACTATCTCATTACCATTATGAGTAATAGTATTCCGGAAGAAGGTGATTTGATCCAATCAAAATAGGAATGTTGTGACTATGCTGGGTCTCCTATTGCCTGCCACATTGTAAACGCTATGGAATGTATCACTACTTTCTTTCTATTCTATTGTACCCAATAGTGTATCCAATAGGCGGTGAGGGGAGGAGGATACAAGGGATAAATGAAAGGAACAAGTGATTCTAAGAATCATTATTCGTCTCCCTAATCTTCTACGAAATCAATCTTCCGATCCTTCGTTGTGTCGAAATAATAATGATTCTTGATCCCGTTCGTTAAATATTAAAGGCAGGTTTATCGGAACCCCTTTGGATTCATAAGAAAAGAAGTCTCGAACAGACAAAGGGGGGAGTAACTTATTGAATTTATCAAATAGAACCTCTTCAATGAATTTCTAAATAGAGAGTAAAATTCTAGTATAGGAATGATTTAATGATTTCCAAGGTTCTGAAGAAATTCATATTGTGTCATACCTAAAATCCATTGATTATTGATGTTTTCTTGCTTCGGAAGAGTCCATACACAGAGACTATGAATCAATCAACAGATCCGATTCTTCAAAAACATCATCAAAAGCAAAAGAATGGAGTGGTTTGCATCGGAGCAAATGATCAATTTTGTAATTTCTACAAATGTTGACTGGAGGAACTCCCAACTCTTATAGAATGGGTTAAGTTCTCGCCCGAAGAGTAAGAACTCAACAGGACCCCCTCTTTCTCTTTCTTTTGAGGGGGTAAGGTCCTGTTGAGTTCTTACTTCTTCATATCTACAACCCGGTTCGGTTCATTCAATTACTACAGGGATGAGCCCAATCCGGAATATGATCCATAGAAGAAAATGCCCATTGAACCGATCACAGGAATACCAGTTACAGTACCTATCAGCCAAAGAGGAATCCTTCCGGTAGTATCGGCCATTTACCCCACTTCCCTCCACATTTCATCAAGTGGTCGTGCTAGAGACATAAACAGTCATAGATAATTATGAGCATGATATCCTTCCGAATGGAATAAGAGAATTTATAAGAGAATTTGTTTTCGTTCTCTCAATCAATTGAAGAAATAATTGGAAAATGAAACAGCAAGTACAAAAATGAGTAATAACCCCCAGTAGAGACTGGTACGATTCAATTCAACATTTTGTTCGTTTGGGTTTGATTGTGTCGTAGCTCTATAATGAATTCGAATTAGGTTTATCGTTGGATGAACTGCATTGCTGATATTGACCCCAAGAAAAAAACTGTAGGTACAGCTAGTCCGTGAACAGCCAACCATCTCACTGTAAAAATCGGATAGGTTCTATCTATGGTCATTGGGACCTCCTAAAAGGATCTACTAAATTCATCAAGTTGTTCCAATGAATCGAAACGGCCAGTTATTAATGGAATCCCTTGTCGGCTCTCTGTGAAATACTCGTTCGGTCGAGGGCTTCCAAACACATCGTAAGCTAAGCCTGTGCTGACGAATAACCAACCTGCAATGAATAGGGAAGGTATAGTAATGCTATGAATGACCCAGTATCGAATACTGGTAATAATATCAGCAAAAGAACGTTCTCCCGTACTTCCAGACATGCTCAGCTCCACATATTCTTGTACAGTCAAGGGGGATCGATTTCGCGAAAGATAGAGATCAGTAAATGGAAAACTACTGATTTTTATCCTTGTAAGATCGTCAATATGGTACCGAGGGTGTATTTAGAGTATACCGAATCAGTATAGCTATCCTTCCTCTGACACAGCAATGCAGTTTCGATCAAAAAAGAAATGGTACATAATTCCTTTCTTCCTTTTTTGTTCCTTGTCTATGCAGAACCGTGTGTCATTCAATAAAAGATTCCTGTAGTATAAGGTTTCACATTACTTGCTTCGAAATCTAAACTGAGGATCCTGATAAAATGTAAAAAAGTAGGGGTTCGAATAATTCATGAAGGACATGATCATATTTTCCTAATTGGATGGGAAATATAGAAAGAATTTTTCATGGTTGTAGAAAAGGTATTTTTGTTCTAATTCCTATTTGATTGGTTTGGTTGTGCCGTAGCAGATAGTATTCGAGAAATGAAAGAAAGAGAACAATGGAATAGTCCAGGTTCATGGCGCAACTATTACTGCATTAGGTTACTGCATTAGGTACAAGGGTTTCTTCCTTACTTGGCTACAAGGAAGGATAGGACTGCATAAAATATAAAAGAAAGACAGAATATGGGACGTAGAAGGAGACTAAGAATCGCTAGTCTTAGAATCGGGATCTGAAAAAAAAAAAAAATAAAGTAAGGATTTTTCTTTTTTTCCAGATCGTGAATACTATTTTTTCTTCTCATTCAATTCAATAGTGGGTCGGTTGATTACAGATAATATCTCGAATAAGTTAAAGTAAGAGGTGTTACCGGGCCTTTTCTTTGAAAAATAGATCCAATTGAAAAGGAAAATAATATAAAAGGCAATCATTTTCAAATTGAATTCTTTTTCATTAACTTGAATAACTATGAAATAGAAGAATTCAATTTGTGAATGAAGTTACACGACACGGTTCGTTTTGCTATTACTCACAAGTTGCTCAATGAGTTTGTTGATTTGGAATCACGAGATCGGTAGATGTCACAAATCATGAATCCATATTGTTTATTTTTTACCTCCTTCACTCTATCTTTGTTAGTACCTCTATTCTATAATGAATGGCTGGTGAATCAAAACTTTCAATTCGAACGGATCCTGTCAATTGGGATTGTTTCTTATCATCGTATCTCGATTCAAACTTAGGCAAATGTTTTATTTATATATATATATATATATTCTAATTATTATATGTATAATGATAATGTATAATTAAAGAACATATCTCATTTAGCTCCTTCATGCCTACTATAACTAGTTATTCCGGTTTTCTACTGGCTGCTTCAACTATAACCTCAGCTTTATTGATTGGCCTGAACAAGATACGACTTATTTGAAATTAATTGAATGAACAATTTCTAAAAATTCAGATTTTTGTGAGATTCCAGGTATTCTATAGTTCCTTTCAGTGTCAATTGCCAATTCTTGGTCATTGAGATTCATGGGTGATTCGAAGTAATATTTAGGGATAGATATTACCTCTCTCTTTCTCCCCTTTCAAACAAATTGAAATGATTGAAGTTTTTCCATTTGGAATCGTGTTAGGTCTAATTCCTATTACTTTGGCCGGATTATTTGTAACTGCATATTTACAATACAGACGCGGGGATCAGTTGGATCTTTGATTGAGTAAGATTCACTTTTTTTACCTACTCCATACCCAGGAGTAGGTTCAATTTCATTGATGGTTCCAGTTTCAAGTTACTGTGATTCAGTACAAGAAGAAAGGAACCACGCTCTGTAGGATTTGAACCTACGACATCGGGTTTTGGAGACCCACGTTCTACCGAACTGAACTAAGAGCGCTTTCTCACGACAGTAGATACAGTTGAAAAAGAAAAGGGTTCTTTTTGTATCCCCTAATTTAGCATGTATAATTTAGCATGTATATATATATAGTCTCATTAAGGATTCTGTCTAATTCTAAGTGATTTCCAATTGATCCCTCGTTACTGCCCATAGGAGAAGTAATAGGTAGGGATGACAGGATTTGAACCCGTGACATTTTGTACCCAAAACAAACGCGCTACCAAGCTGCGCTACATCCCTTTCAATTGTTGTACAGTGTCATTGTAGAGAATCCCTTTTCTGTTTTCCACATCGTTATTTTATATAATCTATACATTTCTATTATACATTTCTATTGCCATTTCTTCTTTTTGGTTTCATAACATAAAATAAAAGAATTATGTACATATGAAATCCACCATCTAAAAAAATGAATCAAGAAGGAAGCGGGCGCCCTTTTCCATATTTTAGGGGCAGGAGCACCTTATTTTCTTTTTAATTTACCGACCATTATCTATTTTAGGGATTCCGCGTACAAATACAAGTGATTCTTAACTGCATATGCATCTAATCATATATGTGTTCCAATAAGGAAGGAGGATTTTCAATGCGAGATATAAAAACATATCTCTCTGTGGCGCCCGTGTTAACTACTCTATGGTTCGGGGCTTTAGCAGGTCTATTGATAGAGATTAATCGTTTCTTCCCAGATGCGCTGGCATTCCCCTTTTTTTGATTCTAATTATCGGGGTGGGAAGGAATGAAAAAGATGAGAGATACAAAAAATTCTCTGTGTGTGAAAAAGTTCCTCCCCTCTTGCTTCAGGAAGGAAAGAGAAAGAAAAAATCAAAGTGGATTGAATCTCGGCCGGGTTCGGGATAGAATGAATAGGGGGGAGGGCAGAAATAAAAAAGTGGATCTAAGGCAGGCTATTCGAGATCATACCAGATATTGCAATGAAATACCGGTTTAGGAATAATGATTGATAGTTAGAAATAATTGTATTACTTATTACTTTTCCATTGCAACCAAATCAAATCTTTCATAATTGGATTTACAGCTAACAACTCCTATTTCTTTCTTTTTCTTCGAATCGAAAATAGAAGAGTTGAGTGAATCCAAAATACAAAGGAGGTTCATGGCCAAAGGTAAAGATGCTAGAGTAAGAGTTATTTTGGAATGTACCAGTTGTACTCGAAATGGTGCTAATGCTAAGAAGGAATCACCGGGCATTTCCAGATATATTACTGAAAAGAATCGACACAATACACCTAGTCGATTGGAATTGAAGAAATTCTGTCCTTATTGTTCGAAGCATATGATTCACGCGGAGATAAAGAAATAGATAGAACGTGTGCCAACATTCCAAGAAACAGGAAGAAATGAAATATTCTATATGAACAAATCAAATCCTATTTCGGGCGGATCAAGATGAATGAAGAAAGAAAATGTGATTTTGGAGATAAGGAATAAACCATGGATAAATCCAAGCAACCTTTTCGTAAATCCAAGCGATCTTTTCGTAGGCGTTTGCCCCCAATTGGATCGGGGGATCGAATTGATTATAGAAACATGAGTTTAATTGGTCGATTTATTAGCGAACAAGGAAAAATATTATCCAGACGAGTGAATAGATTGACCTTAAAACAACAACGATTAATTACTATTGCTATAAAACAAGCTCGTATTTTATCTCCGTTACCTTTTCTTAATAATGAGAAACAATTTGAGAGAACCGAATCCCTCCCTAGAATTACTGGTACTAGAACCATAAAGAAATAGACCTATTGGATTGGAACTCAAATCAGAATTCAAATGGATGTTCTGTTCGAAAAAGCAGCGGTTGATCCGGATTCGATTGTTACGTTGGAAGAAAAAATGGAGAAAGAAAGATTTCTTCTTTCTTTATTGATATTGAAACGTATTCGTTCATTCCTACTACCTATTACTTTGATTTTTTATTAATTGAATTTGAATTGAATTTCTTTTTATTTCTATTTTTTTCTTGATTTTATCATGTTAATTTCTACTCTAACCTTCCCGGAGGGAATCTCCGGGAGATTCTGTTGGAATCATTCCATTCCGATTCCGGCGGATGGATTCCTCTTAATCCCTTTTTTCTTTTATGATTTCATTGGAAATCATGTAAAGGGAATTTAGATTGTATCTAGCTATTTGTGCAGGTATTTTACGATTAAGAAGCAACTGCCTCTTGTACAGATCGTTTATTAATCGACTATAGGATACCCCATTTTCGTGAGTTGCTGCATTTATCCGAGCGATCCACAAGCGACGAAATTCTCTCTTTTGCCTACCTCTATCCCGATAAATGGAAACCAAAGCCCTCATTTTCTGTTGAGTAGCAGTTCGAGTAAGTCTTGAATGGGCCCCTCGAAAGGTCGATGCAAATAAACGAATTTTTGTTCGACGTCTGCGAGCTATATATCCGCGTCTAACTCTGGTCATTTAATTTGATTGAATTTCACTTTAACTTTAGATGAATAACTAATTGATTTCTTTTCTTTCAGTCATTCTTTCCCTTCGTCCTGATTAATAACAAAACGGATTCTTCCGATGTATAAAATAAAAATTCCAATGGCTTTTGCTACTATGACTTTCCCGACCACGATTTGTTATCCAGTCATTTCAACTCGAATAGTAAATAAGGATAAATTAACTAAAATAATATAGTGGGTTCCTTCGTTTCTATGATTACTTCTTAAACGGTGAGGCCCTTTCTATACACCGGAGCCCCCCTCATTTAATCAATGTTATTGATAACTCGTACAATTCATACCGTTCGGCTCTACCCATCAACTATCCAGTAATAGGTCTTTTCACAAGAAAATCTATCCATACAGTGACGGCATTTAATTATGAAGGTTGGCTAGGCAGCTGACCCTGTTAGTCCGCTTTTGCAACAAAACAAAAAAGAGCATAATCTTTCTTCTTTTTTGAATACCATTTCCCCCGCTTAATGGATACCCGTTTGCTACCGATGAGGAATTGCTTTTCATCTCACATCGAGATGATTGGATTTGCACCAATGGAAACCATAAATTCCATAAGCAATAAGGGTATATGATAGATCTTTTTAGATAGTGAATGGAATTCTTCCATTCTATTCATTGCTACTGAAAAAATCATCTAGTTTGTTCTAGCTCATGATCTGAACGAGTCGCACATACACCCTAGTACATGTTCCTCTACGCTGAGGGCATCCTCGAAGAGCGGGAGATTTCGTAACATTTCTGATTGGCTGTCTTGTGTTTCTAATAAGTTGTTTAATAGTTGGCATGCTGAATCATATACAAAATAAACTGGTTTAGATCGATCCTAACCAGATGATCAGGAATCCCTTTCTACTATAATACTAATAAGAGCTTCTAATCCTATTAGAATTCTTTTATTTTCCCCCCGGTAACTCGGTAATAAGATAAAATATCACGGGTCATTCGAATTATGTTTCGAAATGAATCACGGATTTACGGGAAATCCCAGGTATTTTCGACTGCTATAAGATCAACAATGCCATGAGCTTGGGCTTCTGTTGCTGACATAAAAACATCCCTTTCCATGTCTTCGGATACAACCCATAAAGGGTTGCCTGTTCTTTGTACATAAACGCTTGTGATGGTTTCGCGAAGTTTCAGTAGCTCCCCCGCTTCCAGGATAAATTCTCCTGCTGGTGCCTCATAAAAAGAACTAGCGGGTTGGTGGATCATAACCCTGATGATTAATATGACATTGTGAGCGGTTCTTCTATATTCGCATAATCGGACAGAAGGGAATGAATAAAGAAAAAGAATAACAAAAAAAAAGATAGAATTGAACAACCGTACAGGCTTTGTGCGTTGCATACGGCTCTGCAATGGAATCGACTCTTCTATCCGAGAAAGAGACAAATAGAATCTATTAGACCCAGATCTTTAGATGATTCATTTACCACCTTTTTCCTCGGAGGAGTCAAAAATACTATGATGGTTCGGTTGCTTTTGAAGTTTTCATTCAGCAATCCCAAAGTTTCTTTCTGATCCGATCAAATAAAAAAAAAGAGAAAAAGAAGAATTTTTCTTTCATTTTATCCCTCTTTTCTTTCATAAAAATACGAAAGAGACTTCTGGTGTAGGAGCAAAAAGGTTTGTGACGCTGAAATGTACCCCCGATACATAAGATCAAATTGGGAATAACTTTTTTTCATACTACTATTTCGATACATAATCATGTTATAAAAAAAACAACGAGGGTTTGTTCATATCGAATTAGAAGTGCCATGCTATTATTACTTCTTTCTTCTTTATCTTCTTTAATATTAATATTCTATGTTTTATATTAGATTTTATTTCTATTTCTTTTGGAATTTTATATTCATTTATGATTGATTTTTGATTTTTTTTTTTCATATTTCATATGGCGAAGGCATAGTCTTTTTTTTCTACTAAATATAAATAATATAAATAAAAACTCATTGGCGCCAAGCGTGAGGGAATGCTAGACGTTTGGTAATTTCTCCTCCGGCCAGGACGAAAGATCCCATTGAAGCGGCTAATCCCATGCATATCGTATGTACGTCTGGCGGTACAAATTGCATAGCGTCATAAATAGCTATTCCTGGTATTACCCATCCGCCGGGAGAGTTTATAAACAAATAGAGATCCCTGGTATCATCCTCTATACTGAGATATACCATGAGACCAACAATTTGATTCGATATCTCACCTTCAACCTCTTGGCCTAAAAAAAGTAATCTTTCTCGATGAAGTCGGTTGATTAGGATCAAATTGTATCCCTTAGGAATCGTACACGCACCTTTCGATGCATACGGTTCAAAAATTGCGAAAAAAAAAAAAAAAGAATCAATGTGCCGATTACAGACCTATTCCTTTTTTCGTAGCAGGGTTTTCCTCCCGAAGGGGCTTTTTCTTCCTTTTTCAAGAAACATGAGTTTTGGTTCACCCCCTTAAAAGAAAAAAAAAAAAAGAATTCACTGAACTTATTGAATCACTCTCTTATTGATGTATTCTTTCATCGAGATCAAAATCACGGTGTAATTTTCTTGTTCCTGAATGGGCCTCTTCAATTCTTGTCTTTTAGGTTTATGCTCTACTCCGGGTAAAGATATGCCCGAATTCTATTTGCACATATAGGACAAACGATCCTATTACCACCTCTTTTATTAGTAAGTATTAGATTTTATTAGTATTAGATTCAACTTTTTTTTTTTCAATTTGCTTCATGTCTTCCACCAAATATTCGATGTATTTATGCTATTACTCGATAAGTTGGGAGTTTGGGATCACTGATCGATATGGATAGTAATAATTTATGATTATGATATTAAGTAGTAATCATACATATATTACTACTACCAAATACCAATTTGATATTTTCTGAACGGAGCCTGGATAGGCTACTCTATTTTATTGGTCCAAGCCAACCATAGATTATTCTAATTGATAATATCTATCCCCAAAACAAAAGGATTAATTGCACTTCACGCTCCGAATTATTGATGGTTCAATCAATCTTTCTTGGGCGAAAGAGAGGATATCTCGATCGGGGGAGAGAACGGGGGAATTCCATATGACCCAATATGTCAGACAAGTCGCACTATATGTCAACCCAAGTTGCGTCTTCCTCTCCAGGACTCCGAAAAGGTACTTTTGGAACACCAACGGGCATGAAGGAAAAAGGAGTTAAGCACTATAATTTCACTTTGATGCGGAAACGTAAGAGTGGGTTTATTGTCTTCATGATATTGTCGTTTATCGTATTTTATTCATAAATTGAAAGGTTCGTAGAGGAATTTGGAATGAAGAAGATTCTTAATGGATCTTACAGATGAATCGTTCGAATGATGAACAAATATACATGCATTTGATTCCAATGGGACCAATCTCCCCATTGCGTATTGATACTTATCGAGTATAGAATAGATCTGCTTCTCTTTGTTCCTATGAGCAGAGTCGTTCGATTATTACCAAGGGCACGGAGTTCACTCTTGTCCGAGATAATCCACTGAAAAGTGAAAATGGTCAGGTCCATAGCATAGTCTTTTCCAATGCGATAAAGTTACATAGTGTCTATTTTGATGAAGGGGTATTTCCATGGGTTTGCCTTGGTATCGTGTTCATACCGTTGTCTTGAATGATCCCGGTCGGTTGCTTTCTGTCCATATAATGCATACAGCTCTAGTTTCTGGTTGGGCCGGTTCGATGGCTCTCTATGAATTAGCTGTTTTTGATCCCTCTGATCCCATTCTTGATCCAATGTGGAGACAAGGTATGTTCGTTATACCCTTCATGACCCGTTTAGGAATAACAAATTCATGGGGCGGGTGGAGTATCACAGGAGGAACTGTAACGAATCCGGGTATTTGGAGTTACGAAGGTGTGGCCGGGGCACATATTGTGTTTTCTGGTTTGTGCTTTTTGGCATCTATCTGGCATTGGGTGTATTGGGATCTAGAAATATTCTGTGATGAACGCACAGGAAAACCCTCTTTGGATTTGCCCAAAATCTTTGGAATTCATTTATTTCTCTCAGGGGTGGCTTGCTTTGGGTTTGGCGCATTTCATGTCACAGGTTTGTATGGTCCTGGAATATGGGTGTCTGATCCTTATGGACTAACGGGAAAAGTGCAATCTGTAAATCCGGCATGGGGCGCTGAAGGTTTTGATCCTTTTGTTCCGGGGGGAATAGCTTCTCATCATATCGCAGCCGGGACATTGGGTATACTAGCAGGTCTATTCCATCTTAGTGTCCGCCCACCCCAACGTCTCTACAAAGGATTACGTATGGGTAATATTGAAACTGTTCTTTCCAGTAGTATCGCTGCTGTATTTTTTGCAGCTTTCATTGTTGCTGGAACTATGTGGTACGGTTCAGCAACTACTCCGATTGAATTATTTGGTCCCACTCGTTATCAGTGGGATCAAGGATACTTTCAGCAAGAAATATATCGAAGAGTTGGTACCGGGCTGGCCGAAAATCTAAGTTTATCGGAAGCTTGGTCCAAAATTCCTGATAAACTAGCTTTTTATGATTACATCGGTAATAATCCGGCGAAAGGAGGATTATTCAGAGCAGGCTCAATGGACAACGGAGATGGAATAGCTGTTGGGTGGTTAGGACACCCGATCTTTAGAGATAAGGAAGGGCATGAACTCTTTGTACGTCGTATGCCTACTTTTTTTGAAACATTTCCAGTAGTTTTGGTAGATGGAGACGGAATTGTGAGAGCTGATGTTCCTTTTAGAAGGGCAGAATCAAAGTACAGTGTCGAACAAGTAGGTGTAACTGTTGAGTTCTATGGTGGTGAACTCAATAGAGTAAGTTATAGCGATCCTGCTACTGTGAAAAAATATGCTAGACGTGCCCAATTGGGTGAGATTTTTGAATTAGATCGAGCTACTTTGAAATCCGATGGTGTTTTTCGTAGCAGTCCAAGGGGTTGGTTCACTTTTGGACATGCTTCGTTTGCTTTGCTCTTCTTTTTCGGACACATTTGGCATGGTGCTAGAACCTTGTTTAGAGATGTTTTTGCTGGTATCGACCCGGATTTGGATGCCCAAGTAGAATTTGGAGCATTCCAAAAAATAGGAGATCCAACTACAAGGAGACAAATAGTCTGATACAACATTGCTCTGGTCTGTCTCGCCTCTATTTGGTTTGGTATATTTCGTATAGAGTACCGGAAATATAAAATATTGATTCAAATTACTCTTTCTCTGGGAAATGATCCCAAATGAACAGGTATGGAAGCTATATATAATTTCATTGTAAACCACGATCGAATCTATGGAAGCACTGGTTTATACATTCCTGTTGGTATCGACTCTAGGGATAATTTTTTTCGCTATCTTTTTTCGAGAACCGCCTAAGGTTCCGAATAAAAAAATAAAATGATTTTTCATTATCTCAATTGAAATAATGAACCTCCTGGGAGGTTCATTATTTCAATTAGTCCCCATGTTCCTCGAATGGATCTCTTAGTTGTTGAGAGGGTTGCCCAAAGGCGGTATATAAGGCATACCCAGTAAAGCTTACAAGTGAACCAGATATGGAGATGGCAACTAGGGTTGCAGTTTCCATTATTAGAGAATTTCAATACCACGATAGGATAAGATAGTTTATTTACAACGGAATAGTATACAAAGTCAACAGATCTCAACCAATGCAATAGAATTTATGGTTACACAAAGCGTGGAGGATAGTTCCAGATCTGGTCCAAGACGGACTATTGTAGGGGATTTATTGAAACCGTTGAATTCAGAATATGGTAAAGTAGCTCCTGGATGGGGAACTACCCCCTTTATGGGGGTCGCAATGGCTCTATTTGCAATATTTCTATCAATTATTTTGGAGATTTATAATTCTTCCGTTTTACTGGATGGAATCTCAGTGAGTTAGGTACAGAAAAACCAGCTAAAAACAAAAAAAAAAAAGAAATGAATCACTTAGGACTTGGGTTTCTAGGTTAGGTAGTTCGACCGTGCAATTCCTTTGTTTCGGTATTTCCGGAATATGAGTGTGTGACTTGTTATAATTGATCCTATTGTATAGTACAGAGAGTGGATCTGTCGTCTCGATAGAGATGGTTCTATCTCGTCGGATATTCAGTCTAGTATCTGAAACACGGACTCTTTATTCTATTATATGGAATAGATAAATAAAAATTTGAACTATGATTCATACTTATTTTTTTATTCAGACCTCGTGACCGGGCTCAAAAAAAATTCTCAAAGATCTATTTCATAAATCGAACGATTCCTTTTTTTTATTCAGAATCATGCTTACTTCAACTAAAGGACAAATATTTCTCTGGATTTTTAGTCATTATATCTTTGAATAAATGATGATCAAACGGTTCCTACTCAGAGAACCTTTTGTTTTTGAGGGACTTTGGTGAATCATCGTGGTTTTAATATGAATCTAAGGTTTCAATTGATTCGTAGGGTCTCAACAAGAGAATTCCTATCAATTGTATGGTACTTCCTTAAGTAAATCCGTATTACGCACAAAAAAATAAAATAGGGTAAGAGAACATTCAAGAGGCCTGTAACGATCGACATAAAGACAAGACGACGCGCCAACTTGATATTTTGGCATTATACATCACCAATCACAAAGAAGAGATTCTGGATTTTAGCTCTTTCGTATCTTCATGGAAGATTGAATCAAGTAGCTAAAAAGTTTCAAATTTCAATATTCGTTGCAACCAGTATTGGGGTGTTTTCGCTTGAGCCGTACGAGACGAAATTTTCATATACGGTTCTCAGAGGGGGAGTCTCTTTGGTTTACCTATCTCAATAAAGTATATGATTGGTTCGAGGAGCGTCTCGAGATTCAGGCGATTGCGGATGATATAACTAGTAAATATGTTCCTCCTCATGTCAATATATTTCATTGTCTAGGGGGAATCACACTTACTTGTTTTTTAGTACAAGTAGCTACGGGTTTTGCTATGACTTTTTACTATCGTCCAACTGTTACAGAGGCTTTTGCCTCTGTTCAATATATAATGACTGAAGTAAACTTTGGTTGGTTAATCCGATCAGTTCATCGATGGTCGGCAAGTATGATGGTTCTAATGATGATCCTGCACGTATTTCGTGTTTATCTCACAGGCGGATTTAAGAAACCTCGCGAATTAACTTGGGTTACGGGTGTGGTTCTGGCTGTATTGACTGCATCTTTTGGTGTAACTGGTTATTCCTTACCTCGGGACCAAATTGGTTATTGGGCAGTCAAAATCGTGACCGGCGTGCCTGAGGCTATCCCTATAATAGGATCGCCCTTGGTAGAGTTATTACGTGGAAGTGCTAGTGTGGGCCAATCTACCTTGACCCGTTTTTATAGTTTACACACTTTTGTATTACCTCTTCTTACTGCCGTATTTATGTTAATGCATTTTCCAATGATACGTAAGCAAGGTATTTCGGGTCCTTTATAGAGAATTGAATTTATAGAGAAAATAGATCATAGATATTAGTAATAGATCATATCTATTTCGGGTAGGAACAAACAAAACAATAGTATTTCATTGCTAAAAATATGGATTATTGAAATCGAAAAGAATAAAACATATTCTTTGGATATTTCTCTTCAACTCCTAAGTATTCTTTACATTATATTATACGAATAGTTGAAGCGGATCCTCGAAAGAGAAGATGGATTATGGGAGTGTTTGACTTGAACTATTGATTGGGCCGTGCAGATATATGAATTTATCTGCCACATTGAAATTCACAACCAAATGTGTCTCTGTCCAACCACCGCGTAAATTCCCCCTACAGAGGACAGGCTGGTTCGCTTGAGGAGAATATTTTCTATGATCAAAGCCGAATCATGTCATGCATGAGCAGGCTCCGTAAGATCCATTAGAATAAGTGAAAGTGATTTGACATGAGTCAGATTGTGTTCTATCTATTTCACTTACCTATAACCTATAGTATGGAAATGCATTCATTTCCCCTGCATTGATCCTCGATCTATGATACTATCGGAGTGAAACAAGAGATCTAAGGAAGAACAGAGGTTAGACTTTATTAGTAACAAGTAAATCCTTTGTATGTACGAAAAGAAGATTCGAGATATTGTGGGGATAAAGATCAATCACAAGGCATGAGACGATCCAAAAAGCGCTTGGTAATGATCAAAATTAAAATTGCAAGCCTACTTGGGTATTGAGCATTTACTTGTAAGAACTGAATTCCTTGTAATGGATAGTTGCAACTCCGTATAATTGAATCCGGGAAATCTCTTCTTACATAAAGTCATATATATGTGATGTGGTGGATATCTATGATTTTATTTTACCATTTCATTTGATTCTTTTGTTGCTCGAGCCGGACGATGAAAAATTATCATGTCCGGTTCTTTCGGGGGATGGATCCATAAGAATTCACCTATCCCAATAACAAAGAAACCTGACTTGAATGATCCTGTATTAAGAGCTAAATTGGCTAAAGGGATGGGACATAATTATTACGGAGAACCCGCATGGCCTAATGATCTTTTATATATCTTTCCAGTAGTAATTTTAGGTACTATTGCATGTAACGTGGGTCTAGCTGTTCTAGAACCTTCAATGATTGGTGAACCAGCAGATCCATTTGCAACTCCTTTGGAAATATTACCCGAATGGTACTTTTTTCCCGTATTTCAAATACTTCGTACAGTACCTAATAAGTTATTGGGTGTCCTTTTAATGGTTTCGGTACCAACGGGATTATTGACAGTACCTTTTTTGGAGAATGTTAATAAATTCCAAAATCCATTTCGCCGTCCAGTAGCTACAACAGTCTTTTTGTTCGGTACCGCACTAAGTCTTTGGTTAGGTATTGGAGCAACATTACCTATTGATAAATCCCTAACTTTAGGTCTTTTTTAAATTGATTCAACCGTGAAAAACCAAGGGATTACGTATGTATCTAGGGAATAGTCGCTCCAAAGCGGATCCTTCCTAGATACATCTATTTAAATTATTAAATTATGTTACGGATTCATTGCGAATAGCTCATGAAGTACAGTCCGTGTTGAAAATTCAAAACGGATTTTCTTTCTTTTACAAAGAAAAGAAAGAATTACAATGGATTGAAAACTTATTCTTAGGTATTATATTAGGTAAATAAATTCATTGCAAAACGTTTCTTGAGAATGTCCAATACCCGTTTGACATCCTCTACACGAAAATGTTGAATTTTCCTAAGATCTTCTTGACTCTTACTCAAAAGGTCCAATAATGTATGGATATTGGACCTTTTGAGGCAGTTATAGGTCCTGGGAGATAATTCTAATTGGTCAATAAAAATACGTTTCAATGCAATTCTTTTTTTGCTTTCCCCTATCCCTATATAAGCCAACCCCTCATGAAAGGGGAAAAAAGGCGCAGTAAATATGTTTTGATCGTCATCTAAATGGAGGTCCCGCTCCTCCGCATGTAGAAAAGGAATAAATAAATCGATCAAATTACGGGAAGCTTCGTAAAGTGCCTCTTTAGGAGTTAAACTTCCATTTGTCCATATCTCTAGAAAAAGTATCTCTTGTTTTTCATTCTCATTTCCATAACATTGAATACTATAATTCGCATTTCGAACAGGCATAGATACAGCATCTATAGGATAACTTGCATCTTGGTTGGTGGTTCTCGTACGATATCCGCGATTTCTCTCGATTTCTAATCCAATACAAAAATTAATTGGTTCGGTGATACTAGCTATATGCTGTGTAGTATCAACTATTTTCACAGAAGGTGGTGAGATTATATCTTGAGCAGTTACATATTTAGGACCCCTAACACAGATAAATGCATCACGAGTCCCGTACAGATCGCTTCTAACTATAATTTCTTTCAAATTCATTAAAATTTCATGTACTGATTCCTCAATACCTACTATTGTAGAATATTCATGTGGTACCCTCTCAGATTTTGCACATGTGATACATGTTCCTTCTATTTCTCCAAGTAAAGACCTTCGCATCGCGGTACCTATCGTATCAGCTTGACCTTTCATAAGCGGAGATAGAACGAAACGACCATAATAAAGACGCTTACTGTCTGCTTTTGATTCAACACACTTCCACTGTAGTGTCCGATTGGATACTGGTACTTCCTTTCGAACCATACTAATCGAAATTGATGGGGTCATTGGATCCTTTATTTTTCTTCGAATCTTTTCCTTTTTGATTTCTACACGCGTCTTTTTTTAGGGGGTCTACATCCATTATGTGGCATGGGAGTTACGTCACGTACGAAACTTAATAGTACACCACTTCTGCGAATGGCTCGTAATGCTGCATCTCTTCCGAGACCAGGTCCCTTTATCATAACTTCTGCTCGTTGCATACCCTGATCCACTACCGTACGAATAGCATTTGTTGCTGCGGTTTGAGCAGCAAACGGTGTTCCTCTTCTTGTGCCTCTGAATCCACAGGTACCCGCGGAGCACCAAGAAACCACCCGCCCTCGTACATCTGTAACAGTCACAATGGTATTATTGAAACTCGCTTGAACATGAATAACTCCTTTGGGTATTCTACGTCCATTCTTACGTGAACCAATACGTCCATTTCTACGCGAACCAATTCTTGGTATAGGTTTTTTCATATTTTATTATCTCATAAATATGAGTCAAAGATATACGGATATATCCATTTCATGTCAAAAATAGATCCTTTATTTGTTGGGCACCCTGTGAAGTCCTCTTTTATAAATATAAAAATTACCCCTGTCTCTGTTTATGTCTCGGATTGGAACAAATTACTATAATTCGTCCTCGCCTACGAATCAGTCGACATTTTTCACAAATCTTACGAACAGAGGCTCTTATTTTCATATGTGTCGCTCCTTACTTAATTGAATTCTGAATTTCTTCCTTGGAAGAAAAAAAGAAGTTTCTTGAACTTTTGAGCCTCGATATCCTTATGGAAGAAATGAAAGGAATTTTTAAGAAGCCGTCTAATCATTCGAATCTTTGTTGCGAAGCCTATAAATAATACGTCCCCTGGTTGAATCATAACGACTTACTTCAATTTTCACTCTATCGCCTGGTAATATCCGTATAAAACTACGTCGGATCCTTCCTGAAACATAACCTAGAACCAGGTCTCCATTATCTAAGCGAACTTGGAACATGCCATTGGGAAGTGATTCAGTAATTAAACCTTCATGAATTAATTTTTGTTCTTTCATTCCAGGTAACCCCCTTCCTTGAAGTATCAACTAATAGAGGATAAGCGGTATTAGCCAACTTGTCTCTCCTCTCTTTTTCATAAAATAAATAGGAAGTTACGGATAAAATTCGTATACCAGAAGGATCACCATATATAACATAAAATCTCTCCTCCAATTCCTTCTCGTCGAGCCTCTCGATCTGTCATTATACCTCGAGAAGTAGAAAGAATTACAACCCCCATTCCACCTGAAATCCTAGGAATTCGTTGATAGTTGGAATAGATTCGTAGACCGGATCTGCTTATACGTTTTAAAGTCTTTCTATATGTCCCTTTCCTATTCCTTTTATGTCGCAAGGTTAAAACCAGGAAATTTTTGTTGTTTTCCCGATGTTTCCTAACGTTTTCAATAAAACCTTCTTGTAGAATTATTTTAACAATGTTTTCGGTTATATTGGTAGATGCTATTCGAACCATTCTTTTTTTATCCATGTCGGCATTTCTTATACAAGTTATTATATTGGCAATAGTGTCCCTACCCATGACGAACTATAATTATTAGTATCTCCTGACTTTGATATGATCAACATGTTCCTTATTTCTTTATTTTTTATGAAATGGAAATGAAAGGTATATGCGTGAGACACAATCCACTAATTGATTGATCCGTTTTAGATACTATACCATTGTCTCATCTACTATCATTAGAATACCTCGGGAGCTAATGATACTATCTTAGTGAAATTCAAATGTCTCAATTCCCCAGCGATCGAACCAAAGACTCGAGTTCCTTTTGGATTTCCCTCTGGATCAATAACAACTGCTGCATTGTCATCATATCGTATTATTATACCGTTGTCACGTTTGAGTTCTTTACATGTACGTACAATTACAGCTCTGATCACTTCTGATCTTTCCAGGGGCATATTGGGTACTGCTTCTTTGATTACAGCAACAATAACGTCACCAATATGAGCATATCGGGGGTTACTAGCTCCTACGATTCGAATACACATCAATTCTCGAGCCCCGCTGTTGTCCGCTACATTCAAATAGGTTTGAGCTTGAATCATTTTTTTTTTTTTTGTTTTTGCAAAGTACGGGGGGAGAGAAATAAATATTTTCTGTCCAGAAAGAAATAAACCAGCGATTCTATTTTTCATCACACATATCTCTTAGGTTCCACACCCCTATTTCGCACTAATGAATTGAGTTCGTATAGGCATTTTGCACGCGGCTATTTCCATAGCTGCTCTGGCGACAGTTTCTGGCACTCCGCCCATTTCATGAAGTATTCGACCCGGTTTAATTACAGAAACCCAATATTCAGGAGATCCCTTTCCCGAACCCATACGTGTTTCCGCGGGTCTTACTGTAATGGGTTTGTCGGGGAATACGCGTACCCATATTTTTCCGCCGCGACGAGCGTATCGTGTCATTGCTCGTCTACCCGCTTCTATTTGTCTAGATGTGATCCAAGCAGGTTCAAGTGCCTGAAGAGCGTATCTACCGAAACAAATATGATTGCCCCGAGAAGATACTCCCTTCATTCTTCCTCTATGTTGTTTACGGAATCTGGTTCTTTTAGGGTTATAGTTGATGGTAGTGCTTTAATCCCATCTCTACTGCAGAACCGGACATGAGAGTTTTTTCTCATCCAGCTCCTTGCGAATTAAACGATTCAATCTATATATACATGTATTTAATGAATAATACATTGAATCATCGGATTCATTCAGATTAAATTTCTAACGTACGAATTAGATTCAGATATCTGTTCTATTTCTATATAGATAGAATAATAGAATATAGAATTCTAAAAAGGATTCTATTCTAAAAGATAACATTATCTATAGATATACGTACTTCTAATTTCATTTAATTCTTATATTAACTTAGAATTTAATTTTTATATTATTAAGTATAAGAAAATAGAATTCTTATAATTAATAAAGAAAGAATCCTACCGAATCCGAATTGTCCAACATTTTCCAATCCAACAAGGATTTCGCGGGCGAATATTTACTCTTTCAATATCTGCTTCATTCATAGGTTCAGGTCAACCTATGACCTCTCAGAAAAAAGAAAAGGGTTCTTGGTTTGTTCCGCCATCCCATCCAATGAATCAGTAGGATTCGTTTTCAATAGAATCTTATGCAGTCACTGGTTCCGTCGTTCCCATAGCTTCTCCATTAATGTCTAGGCCTTGCCTTTGCAATGGAGCTTTCAATTTGTTCCCGAGTCAATCTTCTCAGTCTGTATCAACTCAATGCTCTTTATTATTTCTCCTAGGAACCAAATTAATCTAATTATTTTATTTAAATTTTTAATATTTTTATCGACCAATCGGTATTGATGCTTTGTCACACTGCCTTTCTTTATGTGAGATGATTCATAGACCATACATATTGGAATAATATATCGTTCTTCTTCTCTTTCTCTCATTCTTCCTTTTATCCATATCCCTCTATTTTCGTTTAACAATGCACAATCAATAGTGATTTATTTGTACATAGAAAGGATTTCCATTGCTGCAACTATAAAATAGATAATCATATAGTGAATGAATGCTTCTTTGGATCTTAAGAATACGAAGCAATGAGTTGGTTATTAGTTCATACTAGGAGTCGGTCTTTCTATATTCCATAATTTTATTTTAGTCCCAACTCCAAAAAAAACCGGATCTCAACGAGTCACACACTAAGCATTGCAATTTTACCAAATGGTTAATCAAATCTTTATTCAGCCATATAGAATTGAATTCATCATTTTTGGATGAAGGCAAAGGAGTGAAATAGTTTTTCGTTTTTGTCCCTATCCGCAAAATAGAAAGGACCTTTTATTCTTCATCTACAAATATCCAAATTTTGATCCCTAATACCCCGTAGATAGTTTGAACCATATAAGAACAATAATCAATTTTAGCTCGAATAGTGTGTAGGGGAACCCTGCCTTCTCTGATCCATTCGACACGGGCAATCTCTTTTCCGTTCAGACGCCCCGCAATTTGTACCCGAATCCCCTTTGTATTTGCTTGTTCAGCTAATTCAATAGCTTTTTTCATTGCTTTTCGAAATGAAACTCTATTTTTTAATTGCAGAGCAATATATTCTGCAAGAATATTAGGTTGTTCATAGGGTCTTGCAATTCTTGTGATAGTAATGTTGAGTCTCCGGTTCATAGAATTTAACTTTTTTTGTACATCTGTTCGTAATTCTTCGATTCCTCGGGTTGGGCCCTCAATTAACAAATTGGAGGACCCAATATAGATTGTGACCTGGATGAGATCGATTCTTTTTTGAATCCCTAGACGTGCAATTCCTTGGAACCCTGAGGATATTCTCATGTGTTTTTGTACATAATTCTTGATACAATCCCGTATTTTTTCATCTTCTTGTAGATTCCTCGAATAATCCTTTGGTTGTGCGAACCAAAGGGAACGATGACTTTGGGTTGTGCCAAGTCTGAAACCAAGTGGATTTATTTTCTGTCCCATATCTATACTATATAATTTTCTATTATTTATTTCTTATTTTATATATATATGAATTTTATTTCATTTTATTTAATTTCAGTATTCAGTTAAGGTAAGATTTATTTTTGTAAGGCTTGATCTGTCAAATTCAAACTACAAGGGGACTCTTTTTTCTTTCCTTTAAAACAATAGTTATATGACAAGTGGGTCTTTTTATCGGATAACTGCGTCCCCTAGCTTTAGGTTTGAACTTTTTCATCATGGCACCTCCATGGACTTCCGCTTTACTAATGAATGAATCAGCTTCGTTCAAACCCATATTGTGACTAGCATTTGCCGCTGCAGAGTAAACCAATTTGAAAACGGGATAACATACTCGATACGGCATGAGTTCTAGTATCATAAGTGTTTGTTCATAAGAGCAACCGCGAATCTGATCAATAACTCTTCGCGCTTTGTGAGGGGACATACATATATGTTTAGCTAATGCTCGTATTTCTGTACCTGAGATTTTATTTATCATAATTTTTTACCTCCTGAATGATGAGTGCCCAATTAACGACGAAATTTACTATCGTTTCTCGCATGTCCCTGGAAAGTAAGAGTAGGTGCAAATTCTCCCAATTTGTGACCTACCATACGATCTGTTACATAAACAGGTAAATGCTCTTTTCCATTATGAATAGCAATTGTATGACCAATCATAGTGGGTATAATGGTAGATGCCCGGGACCAAGTTACTATAATTTCTTTTTCCTCCCTCGTGTTAAGCTTATGAATTTTTAATAATAAATTATTAGCTACAAAAGGATTTTTTTTAAGTGAACGTGACATAGTGAAGAACTCCTCCTTTTCGTTTTTTCTTTTTTTATGTCGTTCGCCCGACTTGTTCTATTTACTTACGACGACGAAGAATGAAACTATCACTATATTTCTTCTTTTTCCTACTTCTTCTTCCAAGCGCGGGATAACCCCAAGGGGTTGTGGGTTTTTTTCTACCAATTGGGGCCCTCCCTTCACCACCCCCATGGGGATGGTCTACAGGGTTCATAACTACTCCTCTTACTACAGGACGCTTACCTAGCCAACATTTAGATCCGGCTCTACCCAAAATTTTCTGGTTCACCCCAACATTACCCACTTGTCCGACTGTTGCTGAGCAGTTTTTGGATATCAAACGAACCTCCCCAGATGGTAATCTTAATGTGGCCGATTTACCCTCTTTTGCAATCAGTTTCGCTACAGCACCTGCTGCTCTAGCTAATTGTCCACCCTTTCCAAGTGTTATTTCTATATTATGTATGGCCGTGCCTAAGGGCATATCGGTTGAAGTAGATTCTTCTTTTTGATCAATAAAAACCCCTTCCCAAACTGTACAAGCTTCTTCCAAAGCATACGGCTTTCTGGATGTATATGATGATATCTAGACAGGTGGATCTTATATGAATCGTATGATGAAGTACCACACGAGTAGATATATAGGAATCCAAATCTGTCGAATCACTCATCCTACGATTTTATACATCCTAGGTCTCCCCATTCCGTCATCTGGCTTATGTTCTTCATGTAGCACTCAGACCGAATGACTCTATGAAATTACGTCGACACTTCCACATATTACGGGTAACGTAGGAGACATCTCTTCCCCCGGGGGATCTTTAGAATTACCATTGCTTAGCTTTCAATTTGCCTCTGACCATCAAATGAAATGTGAATAACCCGTCCCCCTCTCTTTGAAACAAGGGGCGCTTCCGGTTCTGTCCGTGCTTCAAACAATTTAGTCTTCTCCATATTACCATATCTCTAGAGTCAATCATTTTATATGAGGAACCACTGAACTCAATCACCTGCTGCCGTTACTCTTCAGTTTTCTGTTGAGGTCTATCCCGCTCAAATTGGATCAGTGATCGATTTCTAGGTTTCGTCGTAAACCTAATTGGTTACTTCCAATTACGTAAATCAATGGTTCAAACCGCACTCAAAGGTAGGGCATTTCCCATTGATATAGGAACTTCTGTACCAGAAACAATGGTATCTCCAATTATAGCCCCTCTGGGATGTAAAATATATCTCTTCTCACCATCCCCATAGTGTATGAGACAAATGTATGCATTTCGATTAGGGTCGTATTCTATGGTTACGATTCTACCAGATATGTCTTTTTCATTCCGTCGAAAATCGATTTTACGGTATAGACGCTTATGACCCCCCCCTCTATGCCCTGCGGTAATGATTCCTCTGGCATTACGACCTTTACCACAACGATGCTGTCCATAGATCAAATTCTTTCGTGGATTGGATTTCACTTGACTGTCTACGGCTCCATTGCGTGTGCTCGGGGTAGAAGTTTTGTATAAATGTATCGCCGTGTTATTAAGTATTTTGATTTAAGTCCTTTTCTCTATAAGAGGTGGAATAGAATAACCCGGTTGAAGCGTAATGATCATACGTCTGTAATGCATTCTATGTCCCATAAGAGGTCCCATTCTTCTACCCTTTCCCGGGACCGGGAGTCGATGACTATTCATAGCTATTACCTTGACACCAAAGAAGAGTTCGATCCAATGCTTTATTTCTGCCCTAGTTGATCCTGATTCGACATTAGAAGTATATTGATTGTTCCCCAATAACCGAATACTTTTTTCTGTAAATACTGCATATTTGATTCCATCCATAAATCCATTTTCTTCCCTATGAGTTCCAGTATCGATAAGAATTCTAGTTCTTACTGTTCATATGTTATGGTATGAATATACCATACCAATTCGTTATGTATGGATGATGAGATTCCATTGATACAGAGCCAATTCCAATAGACTTATTAAACATTCCAATTGGCGTGCATCCAGCAGGAATTGAACCTACGAATTTGCCAATTATGAGTTGGGCGCTTTAACCATTCAGCCATGGATGCTTAATTTCACAAGGATCATCATAAGATAAGTATCATCACGAATAAGCAAATTCCAATTGAAATGAAATCTTTAGGAGGAATCAATGAAAGGACATCAACTCAAATCCTGGATCTTCGAATTGAGAGAGATATTGAGAGAGATCAAGAATTCTCACTATTTCTTAGATTCATGGACAAAATTGAATTTAGTGGGATCTTTCACTCACATTTTTTTCCACCAAGAACGTTTTATGAAACTCTTTGACCCCCGAATTTGGAGTATCCTACTTTCATGCGATTCGCAGAGTTCAACAAGCAATCGATATTTCACGATCAAAGGTGTAGTACTGCTTGTAGTAGCGGTCCTTATATATCGTATTAACAATCGAAATATGGTCGAAAGAAAAAATCTCTATTTGATGAGGCTTCTTCCTATACCTATGAATTCCATTGGGCCCAGAAATGATACATTGGAAGAATCTTTTTTGTCTTCCAATATCAATAGGTTGATTGTTTCGCTCCTGTATCTTCCAAAAGGGAAAAAGATCTCTGAGAGTTGTTTCATGGATCCGAAAGAGAGTACTTGGCTTCTCCCAATAACTAAAAAGTGTATCATGCCTGAATCTAACTGGGGTTCGCGGTGGTGGAGGAACCGGATCGGAAAAAAGAGGGATTCTAGTTGTAAGATATCTAATGAAACAGTAGCTGGAATTGAGATCTCATTCAAAGAGAAAGATATCAAATATCTGGAGTTTCTTTTTGTATCCTATACGGATACGGATGATCCGATCCGCAAGGACCATGATTTGGAATTGTTTGATCGTCTTTCTCCGGGGAAGAAGCAAAACATAATCAACTTGAATTCGGGACAGCTATTCGAAATCTTAGTGAAACACTTGATTTGTTATCTCATGTCTGCTTTTCGTGAAAAAAGACCAATTGAAGTGGAGGGTTTCTTCAAACAACAAGGAGCTGAGGCAACTATTCAATCAAATGATATTGAGCATGTTCCCCGTCTCTTCTCGGGAAACAAAAACAAGTGGGGTATTTCTTTGCAAAATTGCGCTCAATTTCATATGTGGCAATTCCACCAGGATCTCTTCGTTAGTTGGGGGAAGAATCAGCACGAATCGGATTTTTTGAGGAACGTATCGAGAGAGAATTTGATTTGGTTAGGCAGTATGTGGTTGGTAAACAAGGATAGGTTTTTTAGCAAGGTACGGAATGTATCGTCAAATATTCAATACGATTCCACAAGATCTATTTTCGTTAAAGTAACGGATTCTAGCCAATTGAAAGGATCTTCTGATCAATCCAGAGATCATTTCAATTCCATTAGTAATGAGGATTCGGAATATCACACATTGATACATCAAACAGAAATTGAGCAACTAAAAGAAAGATCGATTCTTTGGGATCCTTCCTTTCTTCAAACGGAACGAACAGAGATAGAATCAGATCGATTCCCGAAATGCCTTTCTGGATATTTCTCAATGTCCCGGCTATTCACGGAACGTGAGAAGCAGATGAATAATCATCTGTTTCCGGAAGAAATCGAAGAATTTATTGGGAATCCTACAAGATCAATTCGTTCTTTTTTCTCTGACAGATGGTCAGAACTTCATCTGGGGTCGAATGCTACTGAGAGGTCCACTAGAGATCAGAAATTGTTGAAGAAACAACAAGATGTTTCTTTTGTCCCTTCCAGGCGATCGGAAAATAAAGAAATGGTTGATATATTCAAGATAATTACGTATTTACAAAATACCGTCTCAATTCATCCTATTTCATCAGATCCGGGATGTGATATGGTTCCGAAGGATGAACCGGATATGGACAGTTCCAATAAGATTTCATTCTTGAACAAAAATCCATTTTGTGATTTATTCCACCTATTCCATGGCCGGAACAAAGGTGGATACACGTTACACCACGATTTTGAATCAGAAGAGAGATTTCAAGAAAGGGCAGATCTATTCACTCTATCAATAACCGAGCCCGATCTGATGTATCATAAGGGATTTGCCTTTTCTATTGATTCCTACGGATTGGATCAAAAAAAATTATTGAATGAGGTATTCAACTCCAGGGATGAATCGAAAAAGAAATCTTTATTGGTTCTACCTCATATTTTTTATGAAGAGAATGAATCTTTTTATCGAAGGATCAGAACAAAATCGGTCCGGATCTCCTGCAGGAATGGTTTGGAAGATCCAAAAATAGTGGTATTTGCTAGCAACAACATAATGGAGGCAGTCAATCAATATAGATTGATCCGAAATCTGATTCAAATCCAATATAGCACCTATGGGTACATAAGAAATGTATCGAAGAGATTCTTTTTAATGAATAGATCCGATCGCAACTTCGAATATGGAATTCAAAGGGATCAAATAGGAAATGATACTCTGAATCATATAACTATAATGAAATATACGATCAACCAACATTTATCGAATTTGAAAAAGAGTCAGAAGAAATGGTTCGATCCTCTTATTTCTCGAACCGAGAGATCCATGAATCGGGATCCTAATGCATATAGATACAAATGGTCCAATGGGAGCAAGAATTTCCAAGAACATTTGGAACATTTCGTTTCTGAACAGAAGAACCGTTTTCAAGTAGTGTTCGATCGATTACGTATTAATCAACATTCGATTGATTGGTCCGAGGTTATCGACAAACAAGATTTGTCTAAGTCACTTCGTTTCTTTTTGTCCAAGTCACTTCTCTTTTTGTCTAAGTCACTTCCTTTTTTCTTTGTGAGTATCGGGAATATCCCCATTCATAGGTCCGAGATCCACATCTATGAATTGAAAGGTCCGAATGATCAACTCTGCAATCAGTTGTTAGAATCAATAGGTGTTCAAATCGTTCATTTGAACAAATTGAAACCTTTCTTATTAGATGATCATGATACTTCCCAAAGATCGAAATTATTGATCAATGGAGGAACAATAGCACGATTTTGGTTCAATAAGATACCAAAGTGGATGATTGACTCATTCCATACTAGGAATAATCGCGGGAAATCCTTTGAGAACACGGATTCCTATTTCTCAATGATATCCCACGATCGAGACAATTGGCTGAATCCCGTGAAACCCTTTCATAGGAGTTCATTGATATCTTCTTTTTATAAAGCAAATCAACTTCGATTCTTGAATAATCCACATCACTTCTGGTTCTATTGTAACAAAAGATTCCCTTTTTATGCGGAAAAGACCCGTATCAATAATTATGATCTTACATATGGACAATTCCTCAATATCTCGTTCATTCGCAACAAGATATTTTCTTTGTGCGTCGGTAAAAAAAAACATGTTTTTTTGGAGAGAGATACTATTTCACCTTCGCCAATTGAGTCACAGGTATCTGACATATTCATACCTAACGATTTTCCACAAAGTGGTGACGAAACGTATAACTTGTACAAATCTTTCCATTTTCCAACTCGATCCGATCCATTCGTTCGTAGAGCTATTTACTCGATCGCAGACATTTCTGGAACACCTCTGACAGAGGAACAAAGAGTCAATTTTGAAGGAACTTATTGTCAGCCTCTTTCAGATCTGAATCTATCTGATTCAGAAGGGAAGAACTTGCATCAGTATCTCAGTTTCAATTCAAACATGGGTTTGATTCACACTCCATGTTCTGAGAAATATTTACCATCCGGAAAGAGGAAAAAACGGAATCTTTGTCTAAATAAATGCGTTGAGAAACGGCAGATGTATAGAACCTTTCAACGAGATAGTGCTTTTTCAAATATCTCAAAATGGAATCTGTTCCAAACATATATGCCATGGTTCCTTACTTCGACAGGGTGCAAATATATAAATTTCATCCTTTTAGATACTTTTTCAGACCCATTGCCGATACTAAGTAGCAGTCACAAATTTGTATCCATTTTTCATGATATTATGCATGGATCGGCATGGTCAATTCCTCAGAAAAAATTGCGGGCGATTCTTCCACAATGGAATCTGATAAGTGAGATTTCGAGTAAATGTTTACAGAATCTTCTTCTGTCCGAAGAAATGATTCATCGAAATAATGAGTCACCCGTTCCATTGATATGGACACATCTGAGATCACCAAATCCTCGAGAGTTCTTCTATTCAAGCCTTTTCCTTCTTCTTGTTGCTGGATATCTCGTTCGTACACATCTTCTCTTTGTTTCCCGAGTCTCTAGTGAGTTACATACAGAGTTAGAAAAGATCAAATCTTTGATGATTCCATCATACATGATGGAGTTGCGAAAACTTCTGGATAGTTATCCTCCACCTGAACTGAATTCTTTCTGGTTAAAGAATCTCTTTCTAGTTGCTCTGGAACAATTAGGAGATTCTCCGGAAGAAATACGGGGTTCTGATTCTGGCGGCAACATGCTATTGGGTGGCGGTCCCGCTTATGGGGTCAAATCAATACGTTCTAAGAAGAAAGATTTGAATATCAATCTCATCGATATCATCGATCTCATAAGTATCATACCAAATCCCGTCAATCCAATCACTTTTTCGATAAATACGAGACGTTTAAGTCGTACGAGTAAAGAGATCTATTCATTGATAAGAAAAAGAAAAAACGTGAACAGCGATTGGATTGATGGGAAAATAGAATCCTGGGTCGCGAACAGTGATTTGATTGATGATGAAGAAAGAGAATTCTTGGTTCAGTTCTCCGCCTTAACGACAGAAAAAAGGATTGATCAAATTCTATGGAGTCTGACTCATAGTGATCCTTTCTCAAAGAATGACTCTGGTTATCAAATGATTGAACAACCGGGATCAATTTACTTACGATACTTAGTTGACATTCATAAAAAGTATCTAATGAATTCTGAGTTCAATAGATCCTGTTTAGCAGAAAGACGAATATTCCTTGCTCATTATCAGACAATCACTTATTCACAAACCTCGTGTGGGGCTAATAGTTCTCATTTCCCATCTCATGGAAAACCCTTTTCGCTCCGCTTAGACCTATCCCCTTCTAGGGGTATTTTAGTGATAGGTTCTATAGGAACTGGACGATCCTATTTGGTCAAATACCTAGCGACAAACTCCTACCTTCCTTCCATTACGGTATCTCCGAACAAGTTCCTGGATGACAAGCCTAAAGGTTATCTTATTGATGATATTGATGATAGTGACGATATCGATCTTGATGATAGTAATAGTATTGATGATAGTGACGATGTCGATATTGGTGATAGTGATGATATCGATATTGATGATGACCTTGATGCGGAGCTGCTAACTATGACGAATGTGCTAACTATGTATATGACGCCGAAAATGGACCGGTTTGATATCACCCCTCAATTAGAATTAGCAAAAGCAATGTCTCCTTGCATAATATGGATTCCAAACATTCATGATCTGTATGTGAATGAGTCGAATTACTTATCCCTCGGTCTATTAGTGAACCATCTCTCCAGAGATTGTGAAAGATGTTCCACTAGAAATATTCTTGTTATTGCTTCGACTCATATTCCCCAAAAAGTGGATCCCGCTCTAATAGCTCCGAATAAATCAAATACATGCATTAAGATACGAAGGCTTCTTATTCCACAACAACGAAAGCACTTTTTCATTCTTTCATATACTAGGGGATTCCACTTGGAAAAGAAGATGTTCCATACTAACGGATTCGGGTCCATAACCATGGGTTCCAATGCACGAGATCTTGTAGCACTTACCAATGAGGCCCTATCAATTAGTATTACACAGAAGAAATCAATTATAGACACTAATACAATTAGATCAGCTCTTCATAGACAAACTTGGGATTTGCGATCCCAGGTAAGATCCGTTCAGGATCATGGGATCCTTTTCTATCAGATAGGAAGGTCCTTTGCACAAAATGTACTTCTAAGTAATTGCTCCATAGATCCTATATCTACCTATATGAAGAAGAAATCATGTAAGGAAGGGGATTCTTATTTGTACAAATGGTACTTCGAACTTGGAACGAGCATAAAGAAATTAACGACACTTCTTTATCTTTTGAGTTGTTCTGCCGGATCGGTCGCTCAAGATCTTTGGTCTCCACCCGGACCCGATGAAAAAAATTGGATCACTTCTTATGGATTCGTTGAGAATGATTCTGATCTAGTTCATGGCCTATTAGAAGGCGCTCTGGTGGGATCCTCACGGACAGAAAAAGATTGCAGTCAGTTTGATAATGATCGAGTGACATTGCTTCTTCGGTCCGAACCAAGGAATCCGTTAGATATGATGCAAAATGGATCTTGTTCTATCGTTGATCAGAGATTTCTATATGAAAAATACGAATCGGAGTTTGAAGAAGGGGAAGGAGAAGGAACCCTCGACCCGCAACAGATAGAGGAGGATTTATTCAATCACATAGTTTGGGCTCCTAGAATATGGCGCCCTTGTGGCAATCTATTTGATTGTATCGAAAGGCCCAATGAATCGAGATTTCCCTATCGGTCCAGGTCATTTCGGGGCAAGCAGATCATTTCTCATAAAGAGGATGAGCTTCAAGAGAATGATTTGGAGTTCTTGCAGAGTGGAACCATGCAGTACCAGACACGAGATAGATCCTCCAAAGAACAAGGGTTTTTTCAAATAAGCCAATTCATTTGGGACCCCGCAGATCCATTCTTTTTCCTATTCAAAGATCAGCCCTTTGTCTCTGTGTTTGCACGTCGAGAATTCTTTGCAGATGAAGAGATGTCAAAGGGGCTTATTACTTCCCAAACACATTCTCCTACATCTATATATGAACGCTGGTTGATCAAGAATACGCAAGAAAAGCACTTCGAATTGTTGATTCATCGCCAGAGATGGCTTAGCACCAATAGTTCATTATCTAATGGATCTTTCCGTTCTAATACGCCATCCGAGAGTTATCAGTATTTATCAAATCTGTTCCTATCTAACGGAACGCTATTGGATCAAATGGCAAAGACATTGTTGAGAAAGAGATGGCTTTTCCCGGATGAAATGAAACATTTGATTCATGTAACAGGAGAAAGATTTCCCATTCCTTAG